CCCGGGTCTCATCGCAATCGAGATTGCTTTCGTCGCGAACAAGTCAGACCATCGTCAATATTTACTTAACATTTCGACAAAATATAAACCGAGGAAAATTTGAAAAATTTTTTAAACATGTGTGTAATATATTTTTTTATTTTTAAGTAATATTTCAATTGTTATGTAATATTCTCTTTATTTTTAGCATCTCTTTTTCGTGAAGCCTATATGTACGTGCAGCTCGTTTTTGTTACTCTAGGTACAAGATTGATCGTAACACTGTGTTAATAGATTCTGTTGTCTATCGTCATCGTCATCGAATTTAAAAATTTATAAATAATTTCTATGGATGTGTGTTAAATGTAAATACGTTAGAGTGTAACAGCTATTCGTACACGTTATTACTAAAAGGTATCAAGCAATAACAATCTATAAATTCGAACGATTTATGCAAAAGGTTTTATTTCGCCGTCTTTCCGATGTAAATTGCGCGGTCTCCTAATTTATTGAATGCAGAAGAATACTTCACAATTCTCCAAACGATATTTACATTTTTCTTCTGACGCGATTTGCGAGCGCGGTTTAGATGGGGTCAACTAACGCTCTCGCGTTATTTTTATAATCTCGTTTCGGCCTCCATCGCGACAGCTTTCGTGGTCTTACAAACTCACGCGTGCATAAAGAGAAGAAAAAATTCGACGGGTAGTATCGCGTTACCGGTAGGTAAGATGCTTTTCTCTGCCTTTTTTTCACTTTAGGAGGGACGCTCGGTCGAGGGTCTAATAAAATTGAGACACAAGAGTATGATGAATTGCTTAAAATTCGAGCTGATATATAAGCTCTCATACTTTGAAGGCTGAGGTCTAAAATATAAATGGTCGTACCCTTTCGCGAATTAAGAATTCCAACGTCATTGAGAAAAAAAATAAAAAAAAATTGATGCACGGAATTGGATCAGTGGGCTAAAATTCGTATTTTTGATTGGTTTTAATTTCTTTTGCGATTAATCGATTAAATATAATTTTTAAAAGATATGAAAATCGATTATAATTCATGAAACATTTGTTCATCTCTTGAAGAAATAAATCTAGAAAATTTTGCGTCGCGTACAATCGCGAAAAACCAAAACTACTCCGATCTTGAAGAAGATCAGCTCGTTATTTCCCTATAGAAATCGTCCGGAGACAAACGGCGATCGTATGGTGCACATACGTACGTACATATCTCAGTATTACGATAAATGTAAAAATGACGAATACACATAATGCACAGTAATCTCGGGCAACACGGAGGAACCTTTTTATAGCCGATCGAGAGTCCATACAGAAAGAAGATTCTAATGAGAACTCGCTCATTCTCTCGCAAGATAAGCGTCGCGGTTGGATAACCCGTAACACGACGCATTCGTCCGTACATTCCTGTCCGGTTTCCTTCTTTTCTGATCGTCCCTACACCCTTCGTTCCCTACATCGTCCGTTTCGTACCATGCCAGCAGCATCCACTGCGATACGACTCTCTTCCCCATCCTGGCCCGATCGCACGGGTCTATCTCTTCAGCGTTCGTTTTCTCTCTCCTCGCTCTTTCCATCTTTCTTCCTTCGTTCTCTTACCTGAAAGATCGCGGCTCTCTTCTCCACCCCCGGCATCTTTTGTCTTATTATTTTGTCGGCGCGCGCGGCCGGCAGGTATATCTCTCCTTCTACACGGCACTTCTCCTTCTTTCTCTTTCTTTTCTCCGCGCATATAAACATCGCGGTTTTATCTGAACGTTTTATAGCGGAGAAGTCCCTGTCGGGGCCGAAGGGATCACCCCGAAGAAGGAGGAGAGCCGAAGATCGGTGCCGAAGAGGAGAAACACGGCCTACGCTCTTCTTCGACTCCTTCGCGATCCTCTCTCTTTCTGTCCCTGTCTGTCACCGTCTCCCTCTGCCAATTACAATGTTCGTTTTCGCGGATTCTCTGCCTTTGTCTCGCGCGATCTGCGCTGAATCCGAGGGACGCCGTTCTTAAAGGACCCGATGCAATGATAAAGCGTCCTCCGTGGTCTCCCCTTTGCAGGACATCGCTGTAAGGAAAAAAGGAAAGAGACGACCAAAGTTATTTGCATATACTGCGCTCGAGTCTCTTCTTCCTTTCATTCTCTTTTTTCGTTCTTTCTTTGCTCTTCTTACTGATTTTTTTCTATACATGCGATACTTAAAACGATCACACTTGCCGCTAAAATAATGAGGAAACAACATAATGCAGTCTGTCTATTTTTTAAACATGATCAAATTCAGTTGATTTAGCGATTCGATTTTTTATTAAAATTTTTTTAAATTAAATTTGATCAGTGACATGCCTAGATTAATCTCAAGAAGCAATTTTCCCATTGGGTGGCATTTTTATCAATAAATAGTATATAATTGAATTGCTAAATAAATTCGAGATCTTGATCGCGGACGCAGTCTATAATAATAAGTTCGCGTATATCATTATTATAATTGACGATCGTATTTTATCATGTCACCGCAGAGAATCCAGCGATTAAGTTTATTATAATGGAAAATAATTTATTGTAATTACCCTGTTACTAATCAGTGTCATGCCGTTTTTTTGTTGTCCTTGCGATTTACGAAGCGGTTGCCTATCAGCTGCCTTGAAAGTTGCAATGATAAGCATGTAAATTTGTACAACTCGTCGCGACGGTTTCGCCAAGTTACGTGATATGCAATCAGCCCATGATGTTCGAAATTTACAAACTTTTTGTTTGCGTGAGGATTTCTACAATGTGTTTTATTTAATCTTCCGTTGTGCCAGAAGGGCGTAAAATAAATTTAATAATAATGTAGCATCTCTCGAAATATTTATTTTTTATGCATACTGATATCAAACTGTAATATATATTAGCAAATTGATTTTCTCGACAAAATATATTACAGATTAAATTAAAGATTGTTTTTTTCTCTTGAACAACATTCTACATTTGTTTAATGATATACATGTAATTGCTATATCAATGCGAATTTCATTCCCTTGCATATTATCGAATAAATCAACATGTCTTTTCAATTTTTCCGTGTTTTTGAATGATAATTTCCGTGTAATTTGCGCGAGTGACTCGCATTACTGGTTTAATTAGTGCTAGATAATTACTTTTGCACCCATTAAAAAATAAGAAAAAAGACTGCATATTAGAGAGCGAGGTTTCATAATTCTTTCATTCGCGTATAACTACATGATAATATATGTATACACACTCACATATAAATAGTGTCCTAAAAATTACTTAATTTTTTCATGTTCTTATGTTACCATTTTAGTATATCGTTTATAACTAATGTTTAATTTTTCGATTGCATATGATTTATGCAAAATGTTTATGCTATATACGCATTAATTTATTAGATATCAATGTCTCTCAGATTGAAAGATTAGCATTGACACTAGAGCATTTATGTCAAAAAAAAGCGAGAGATTTCGTCCATTACTTAGAGACTTACTACCCTCAAAGGCCGCGCAAAGACCAAGATATTTAAAGTTTCTTTGATACGTATGGTAAACACGGTTATTAGTAATTGTTGTTTGAATGGATGCCAGTTGTATGCTCGTTTATGCCAGTTGAAATGAGTCTTTTACAACTGACGCGCGGTTTCAAATCTATTATGCGTGCAAAACCATTTGTTACTTCCGTTTAGCCTTTGAATAAAGTGTCTTTGAAACACGTGCTCGCGCAGCGGCCGCTCACGTTACGTCGTTATGTCCATTAATTGAAAATGATCCAGTACGAGTCTCGTTTCGCAAAACCGCTACGTTACGTTTTATATATGCTAGCTATCGTTGTGCATTTAATTAGTCGTCTAACAAATTCAATTCTCCCTAAACGACATTGCAGTTATTATTAAAAAGAAACGCGTTTTTACTTAATGGAAAATTATAATTAAAATATTCTCGGTTACCACATCTTTCAGAGAAAAAAATATTAAATGTATATTGCATTTTACATATATATGTATATAATTACTTATATTCAATTATTTGCATTAATTGAACATTTAATATAATATCAGAAAAATGTGAATAATATCACAGTAAATTCCTTTGAAAAGAAAATAGCTCTTTTTAGCCTTGCGTTTATCACACTTAAAAATTGTACAAGACATTTGAAAATAATAATATAATCTTTATAGGTCCCCATTTAATTATCACCGTAATGCTTTTTTTGCACAAGACACGCTTCTCTTTATACAACGACGACGTTCTTCTATATGTTAGGAGCAGCTGTTTAAAACCCGTCTGGCTTGCCGCAAATTATTACGTAGACCGTCGCGCGTATAAGTAACGTTCGCGGTAAAACATTGAGATAAGATTCAATTAGCTTATCAATAAGGAGAAGGTGGGTCAAAAAACAACGCACAACAGTAATTGCATTTCTATGTCGAAGGGAAACGAAATCGGCAAAAAAATACTAAAAAGAACTTTACGCGTTGTATCACTCTTTTGTCACCAACTCGTGAATAATTATTAATAACAGTCGGGTTCAACAATTTGCATTTAGTGCATGTCCTGGTGTGTTAGTTAAGCGTGCAAAACTGCTTTTCGAGTGCTATGAAACTATGATAGCGAAATGCCTCAGGCAAAACAGTGAAGCGCGTGAGAACTAAATATAAAAATATTATTTTTTTCCGCGACAGTCCTCGAGTAGATCTCCTTGCCGACACTCTTACCGTCGCTCAGGCTTCGTAACCCTAAGAAAGATGCGCGTGTTCTTCAGCGCTTTCTCTCTTTCTCTCTCTTGATTTCGAATGGCGACGCATAGGATAAAAAAGTGCGAAAGCGACTGTAAAATTTATGAGGCCTAACTCGATTTCTGCGCGACACGTTCATCGGGTGAAACGTTTAACGATCGTCGCACGGTGACTATCAACGAAGTTCGGTGATATTTACGATTGACGACCGATTTTTTGGACAGCACATTTTGTCGGGATAAGGAGTGGGTGTGCATGATGTGTCATCAACCGAATGTACACGCGTATGTATCCCAGGCTTCCATATAAATAGTATTATATTTCACATTTCGTTACAGTTCAATAAATATCTTTTCAATTTTATTTACATAGGCGGCGGGGTTTACGCGAGGGAGTTAATAAGAGAGAAACGTTGACCTTTAACCGTGGTCGCGAGCAAACTTTATCAAAAATTGCAGGGTAAAGTTATCTAATCGATACATTGAAAGTTTCACGTGAAAAGTGTCATTAATAATAAAATTTATCTCGCGTTATAACTCTTTAAGTGCTGAATTGGCAATGCTTGGAATCCCCAGATTTGAGAATTCGTAAAACTGTCAAAAGCAAGCAGAATACTTAAAATAATTGTAAAAAATTGTAGAGAAGAATTTTTGTCGTTTAAAATTTGTATTCTTCGAAATAATCGTTTTATGTAGTTTTTAAAGCTCTTAAAGAGTTAAGCGCGAAAAATAATTCTGTCTTTTCACTGGATAAAATTTGACAAGATTTTTATACCACAGATTAAAGATTATTTCACACGCATCGGTACAGCGTTGTAATCCGAACGTTACAACAAACTGGCCATGTGCAATGATTCTCTGCTGCTATATATATAATTAACAAATATTTCGCGCCGACAATAGAAACGAAATTTGTCTCTAACGTCGAAATTATTTATGGCACTAATTCGATCGTCTGCGAGCAATCACGTGTTTACCAAACATCACATACGCGTATAGTTATTCCCGTGAAAATTGCTTCTGACACACACTAAACATTTTCGAGATGTCGAAAACGAAATATATAATCTCCAGAATCTCGGGACTCCGCGAAATCCAAAACAAATGTTGCCCAAACTTGTGTCGATGACTTGGCAGTGTGTTACGATGACAGGGAAAACCAAGAGAAACGTAAATCCTTTCACGTTACTAGTCTTTAGTCAACGATAATATTCTTGCGTGTAGTTCTTACATAACAGCGTTATATGATTAAACATATCTTATTCGCGCGTTGAAATCAACGGTGCCGCAGTCGCGGGAACGTGTGATGAGACTGCGAGATCAGTCCACGAATCATATGACGAGCACCATCGGTCATTACAGCTTCTCGAGCGCTCGGCTATTCGTCAGCAATTCCCTGGTGAGTCTCCACACTTGCTTTGCGGCGTTCTCCAGTCCGCTGGGCGATTTCCCTTTGAAGAGATCAAGATTCGGTAGAAAGTAATGCGGGCATCTGCGGCATTGCAAACAGGAGATCAACTGCAGGAAGATACCATTTATTCTCTCGGCCAGGCAACCCTCGTCCCACTCTGCCTCGTGAGGATGTTTCTCACACTCGTAAAGTAGAAGAGTCTTCATGTGATAGCTGGTGACCGGATTTCCCGGCAGGTCGAGATGCCGATCCCTCAGAGTCTTCAGTATACTCAGGCAGCGTTTCCTGCTCGCGCCTTGCAACAGTCGGTTCTCCGCGTCGATGAATGACAACGCCCAGGCGTCACCCTCCATGGCAGATTGCTTGCCCTGTAGACCTATGCATTCTTTCGAGAGCATGTCGAAGCCCTCTGCCTTCACCTCGGCAACGATATTCGGATGCGGCCAAGGTATGTGCGCGATAGGCCAATGAGAGGCCGACCTGGGCCAGAGCCCGGCGCACTTGAAGGCCGGCGTGATCTGCACCACGTAACGCTCTCGTATCCGTAGCTTCACTTCGGTAGTGTCGGCGATCATCTTCACCGAATCCCGATACGTGCACTTGTCGCAGGCCTGCGCCACTAGAGTCTGGAATCTCGAGCGTATCTTTCGGGCCGACAGATAACCGGACGCGGTGATAAACTCGACCCAGAGGGACATGGATCGCTTGCGGCCGTCGCTGAGCTTCAATACGGCACAGCCCGGCAGGGTGCCGTCGTCCACGAAGTTCAGCACGCCCATCTGATTTAGATAAATGACAATCTCGAACTCCGTCGGCGAGATAACGTCGAGGCCGTCGAACCGGCCGTTGTAGTCCGTCAACGACGAGATGAAGCGTGGCTCTTGCACTTCCACCTCTTTCAAAACGTCTTGCACTACTCGGCATACTTCCTGGATGGTCTTTGCCACCTGGCTTTTCCTGTTCATCACTCGTTCGCCAAAGTACTTGTTGAATTGATAGACCATCCTGGAGTGGGACGAAATCATATCAGGCGGTACCAGCATTGTGGACCGCCTGCTAAATCCGTGGATGGTTATTATGCGGTTTTTCAGCTTCTTCGGATCATTGCGTCCTTACATCCGGGTCTTCCTCATCCGCTGTTTCCTGATCTGGATGTCATTTAGTTGTCTCTCACCCAGATCTATCGCATTATGGAACAAATGCGCGAGACCTATAGACTGGCGTTAGATTTAACCTTGAAATGTTGTATCGTGCGTCACCAGGGTACAGCAGACACTGGAAGGCCGGAAACACCGGACCAAGTAAGAGAAAGAGTTATCACGAGCGTCTCCGTGCAGGAGCGGATTGCCGACTGCGCTGATGTCTACCTTCTCCGCATCATTCACCCTCCGTGGCAAGCACGGGCGTACAACTTTGTCGGCACGCCTTCTCCAACGGATTACGCCTCTCGGCAAGATTTTTAGACCAATCGGAGGCTCGCTATGCTGTTCAAGCGGGGGTTAGCTGTGCCAGACCGACAGAATCGATCCGTTGTGGGTACACGAGGCGCGTTCCGGCAGCGTTTATGTGTAGTGTGCACGATATAGGAACCAAGGTAACGCGCGAGGCAACCCTCGTGGTAGCCCTTCTTCCTCCCCATGAATTATGCAGGAACTGCTTAGTTTATTTCCCATCCGCAAGGGCTTCAATCCCTCCTCCCAACAGCTCCTTTAGTTACTCCGAAATTTTCGACATGGTGGACCACGATCGCGCCGCCGGATAGAGTTACCTCCAATTTTTTCATGTCAAGGATATTTTGTTTCCAATGAGAGTTAGCCTCGAATCGAGTTTGGAAGTCGATAAACCATAGTAATTGTTCTTCATTATTGCAGTTGTTTAATTAATATTAGAATCAGCAGAAATGTTGCTTTTCGGAGCACAGATGCATAAAATGTCTTAAATATTTGAATATTTCTTGACACAAAACAATTTTTAAATGGATAAATATTAAGTGTATAGCACACCACATAGACATTTAAGTTTCAAAAAATTATAATATTAATTATAATATAAATTATAAAATAAATTAAAATATAAATTCCAGTTTCATAGCAACAACTAATAATAAGATACACTTATAATAATAAGATAACAACTAAAAAGATATACTTATATCTATCTGTATATCTATATAATTAATTTTATTTGAATATTTTAATTATTTATGTTGTATTTTTAAATTGTAAGATAAGTTAAAAATTGGATACACAAGTATTTAAATAGCTCTTTATGATAATGCAATAAATAATATGATTTATTTCGCATAACAGAGAAAATAACGAATAATATCATAAAAGATATAGAAATGTTAATATCTTAATCTAAAATAATAAAAATATTACAGTTTTTCTTGCAATGGAGAATATTCATTAGTTTGAGATTCCATAGTCAATAGAGACCTTTACTGTTCGTGTTAGAGTGCAATAACAATTACCATTATACATTTGGAAGTGGTCGAATATGTAGTAAAGCAAGGAAAGTGAATGGCATCGGTTAACGAATGTCATCGCCAGGAAAGGCAGACGCGGAACGTTAAGGATAAAATTAAGATAAGAACGTGATATTCTACGTAGGCGTATAATGATTGTTCGCCTTGCTGCCAGCGAGTTATTTCAGGCTCTTATACATACAAACTAAATACACGTTGGCAAAATAATTGAACACTCATTATAATCTAATATACAACATATTATGAGAAACATATTTTTGTATTAGAAGAGCGATATCATGGAAAAATAATTAAAGAAAAAATATGCCTATATTTCATTGTTTATTATAAAATATGGTTTACGAACCGTATAAGCAATGTTTTAATAATTCTTATAAAACTTGTTGAATTAAAGGATAAAACAGGAATTCCAATATTTCTTTATGACAATTACAAATAATTTTAAAAATTTGATGTCATAAACACCAATTATTTATGCCAGATGTAATTAATTAACATATTTAAAAAATTATTTCAATTCCTCATTATATACGTCATACTTTCATCGATATTTCTCGCGCGCGATTACACATATTTTGATATTAGAATAATAAATATACAGGATGTCTGACGTAAAGTGTCACACAAAAATATACAAGTAAATCTTGTTATTTGGAGGTAATTTTTCCTCAGCAAAAACATTGAGGCATCAATAATTTTTGAGTTATAAACGATTGAAAATAAAGGGATTTTTGCAAACTAAGCCTTGTGGAAATAAAATATTAACAAAATTACATTCTCTAATTAATTTCAAGTAGAGTTTACTTTAATAAAATTTCAATGTAAGGTTTAGTTATAAAGATAGATGAGATGGCAAAAATTGGGAACATGCAAAAAATAATGGCCTCTCTCAACATTTTTGTTGAGGAAAAATCGTCTCCAAATAACGAGATCTACATGCATATTTTCGGTGTGACACTTTATGTCAGACACCCTGTATATAAAATTTCTTAATTGCAATTAAATATCATTTTAAAATAGAATAGCTTAATCTATTTAAAAAATAGAGAGTTCTTTGATTGATAGTGATAAATGTGCATTTATTTATTATTTACATTTTACATGTTTTAAATAATGATTCCAAATTATAAAAAAATAAATATCATTTAAATATCAAAGTATTTATATTATTCTACATATATGTATATATACATACATATAACAATAATATTCAAACTACCGTCGGAAGTTTGTTGCTAACCGATTATAAATATTAGATAAAGTAACAAATGGCATATGCTATACATAGATGAACAAAACAGATAATTACAGTACCTAATAGTAAAAAAATAAATTATATATTTTATATAATTTTATAAGTTAAAATGCTAGAATATAATTTAAGATGTTTTCATTATAAAATATATAGTAGAAATATAGAAATTCGTTTTTATAAAGATTTTTTAATAAGTTTTACAGAATATTTTGTTTAAAATTTAAAAAATATTAAAAATTGAAGACATCGTGTGTCTTAAGAATCTATCTTCTTATTTTATTGCGATTATAATTTTGATAAACTCGTTGTTTGATAATTGAGATAAAATAATTATTATCACACTAAAAACATTCATATGAGATATTCTATTTCGACAGAATTAATTGCACAATTCGTATATTGCAACGTGACGCATTACAATAACTATCGAGATATACTATATGTATCTAACATTTAACTAATCGCGCGAGATATAGCTATCGAGACTGCTTATCTTACAGCAATATAAATTATTTTAGAGTAAAGCATTCATACATATTATTATTGAGACCTCGCAACTTGCCGAAATCTAAGACGGAATCGTCGTGCTATACGTATATTTCACGCTATGTTCAATTGCTAAATTAATCATACCTTTTTTTAAATATTTACAATTCGCATAAGTCTATTTATCTATCTGTTTGGATTAATTAATCTTTCTCGCCAATCCATCCTTTAAATAATAAATAAATAAATTTTGTTTTAACTCACAGTTTCCTAAGGTATAAAGTTAATTTTATTTAATCGGTGAAATTTTTAACATAAGTTGAATGGCTAAATGTTTACTCGCAGGGATATTAGACTATTTAAATATTAAATAAAAATAATAAATTCGTGATTATTTAAAACAATCATTATTATTATTTGAATCGTAATTGTTTCTAAAAGAAAACACGTACAAATTAAAATAGCTTACATATTAAGAATCATTTGTAACAATGCACCATCTCTAAGCCCTCGACATAAGAGAGTGAATTAAATAATAACTAACTATTTGTGTATAGTATCGGATAAACACGTAATACGGTGGCAATAACATTTTGTTATATGTGTCATCGAGCGAATTCTCGTTGTTCATTATCGCGCGTTTTCTCAAATTCTCGAGATGGAAGACGCTAAAGCTTCTCTAGCGCGCGGCTGTTTGTTAGCAACTCCCTCGTAAGTCTCCAAACTTGCTTCGCAGCATTCTCTAGACCGCTAGGCGATTTTCCCTTGAAGAGATCGAGATTTGGCAGGAAGTAATGCGGACATCGTCGACATTGCAAGCAGGAAATCAACTGCAGAAAGATGCCGTTGATACGATCAGCCAGGCATCCCTCGTCCCACTCGGTCTCGAGGGGATGCTTCTCGCATTCGTGCAACAGTAACGTCTTCATGTGATAGCTGGTGACCGGATTCCCGGGCAGATCGAGATGTCGGTCTCTCAGGGTTTTTAATATACTAAGACATTTTCGACGGCAGCCGCCCTGCAGCAGCCTGGTTTCCGCTTCCGTGAAGGACAGTACCCAGGCGTCACCCTCCATCGCCGATTGCTTGCCTTGTAGCGCGACGCTCTCCTTCGATAGCAGGTCGAAACCCTCCGTCTTGACCTCTGCCACCAGATTCGGATGTGGCCAAGGGATGTGCGGTATCGGCCAGTGGGCGGCGGATCGCGGCCACACGCCGGAACATTTAAACGCCGGGGTGATTTGCACGACGTATCGCTCGCGTATACGCAGCTTCACCTCGGTGGTGTCGGCGATCATCTTCACCGAGTCTCTGTAGTTGCACTTGTCGCAGGCCTGCGCCACCAGGGTCTGAAATCGCGAGCGTATCTTCCTAGCCGACAGATAACCGGACGCGGTGATGAACTCCACCCAGAGGGACATCGATCTCTTGCGTCCGTCACTGAGTTTCAGCACGGCGCAGCCCGGCAGGGTACCGTCGTCGACGAAGTTGAAGACACCCATTTGATTCAGATAGAGAACCACCTCGAATTCACCCGGCGAGATCACCTCGAGGCCCTCGTAGCGGCCATTGCACTCGGTCAGCGAGGAGATGAAGCGCGGTTCCTGCACCTCGACCTCTTTCAGCACGTCCTGCACGACCTTGCACACCTCTCGTATAGTCTTCTGTACCTGGCCCATGCGAGCCTGTACCCGCTCGGCGTAATACTTGTTCATTTGGTACAGCATCTTCGATGGGCCGCCCATGATATCTTGTGGAACCAACATCATGACGAGACTGTCCGTTTCCGAAGATCCTGAGGATGTTCTTCCGCCTCGAATGAACGAGCCTCATTCTCTCATACGCATATTCACTCACGGATCAACATATTATCGGTATTGTTGTTATTATCGTCAATCGTTTTTCCGTGCATGATTTTGACAGCTCTATCTAACGCTACGTCGATCTCGTCTCAATTTTTCAGTCGGGGATAGTACGGGGGACCGCACGAAACTCGCAGTCTTAAAAAAGGTCGCCGGAACGGGTTACGGATAAACGAATCGTGCGTGCCTAATCGTGTGGCAGGTGTTGTACGTGCAACGAGGTATCGGTTCGAGGTATCCGGCGCGCGCGACGACAGAGAGAACGCCGCTGACCACCGGCTGGTTCCACGTCTGTTGTAGTTGTGTTCCTAAAGTCCCGCCTCCAGAAAGACAGAGTCACATGGAGCGTGCGCGTTGGTACCACGCCTCCCTGTACCTTTCCTCCTCCACTGTTCCTTCTTCTGGCCGCTATCGACGGACAGCGATAAGCTAAGCTATGCGGCTTGCGGAACCGTATGATGTTCGGTCACTAGCAAGTCGATTTGTATTATGTCCATTTTGGAAATATTTCAATTAAGTTATTCTAATTTCCACGCGAAAGTGTGAATTTTTCAATAAATTTTAATGTATAAAAATTATACATTATCCCTTACTAAGACATCATACATAGAACTTGATGATAATGATGATGATGATACTGATGGCGGTGTTGAAGTAGCAGATATATTATCTTAAATTGAATTAGCTAATTTTCTCTTTAGATTTTTTTTTATTAATCGAAACATTGTTATAAGGTGACAATGCAAATTGATAATTTGAAAAAAACAAGTTTGCAGTTATTCATTGTATTTAAATCAGTAGTTGTTGTTGCTTTCACATACCATGTATATTGGTAGTTGAGACATTCTCTGTGAGCCTGATTTCATGGTATGATAATTTCAGACACGACCAAGTGAATAGATACGATAATGCTCTGTTGAAAGGATCATTTGAATATTGAGCATTGATATGGTATGTGTGTGTATGTGTGAAAGATGGAAAGTGTCAACGAATGTTTCCTGCTCTTATTCGCGCACGCGAACATAAATGTGCAGCTTCAATTTTTATGAGACATGTACGCATACACACACACACATATGCATACACACACTCACACATTCGTAGAGACAGGTGTGCGCGACGAAAAATAGCTTACAAACACGAGATACTAAAGAACCTCCCTTTTATACTACGATCGTAAAAACTCACGCCATACAAATATCCACCGAAGAATACCGATCGACCAGACGGATACGTCAGATATTCAATGTGCAAGATTTCGCCGATTAGAACCTCCGTATCATCAGCAAACATCGTTTTCCGCCCGCTTGATCCTTTCAATCCTTTACTACGATAGAAAAGAAAATAGTCATATTGTTGTTAACATGTATGCAAAAGTATTTTGCTGTTTGTTATTGCGAAAAATGAACCGCGACATTTTTTTATCACTTGTTAACTCCTTTTATTTTCATAACTTTATGTTTAATTATAAAAAAATATCATCTCTTGTATTTTATGTGTTTTGAACGCTAAAGAAATATTGGTACTTTTATTTAATTTACTTTCTTATTACGCCGTTCATTATCCGACTCGTTGTTTATGCTCCGATTGCTAAAGCTGCGAAGCGAAACGGCGAGTTATACCAGAGAGTCGCGCCACGTTCAATTCGTACTCCTCGTTCGTGGATAATCGAATAAAGCTCGGGAATCCAATCTACTCCAAGTTGGAGCGGTAGATTGGTACCCGGTGGTCCCTACTTCGCTTTCGCTAATACGACTTGATTCATGAGCCGAGCACGTGTGTCATACTCGCGCACTCTGTCTTGCTTTTCGTGTGTTTCGCTCTCTCATCTTGCGTCGGTGAGCCGAGGGGTCAAACGTTCTGCTACATCAGCCCTCGCATTAAGGCAGAACCCGGGGCTCCTTCCGCCCTAAATGTGCCTTTCATCATCCCATTTCGACTTAATTCGTTTATCATCTGAATTATTTGTACACCGATGTTTTCGCAGCCTTGCTTGCATGGGAGCGGATGCTTTGCGAAATCATCTTTCGATCGAAGCTGGAAATCTGGAAGACGAAAAATTTCAATAAAAACTCGAATATATAAATTAGAAAAAATAATATTGTAAAAAATAATATTATATAAATCAATAATATATGTTAATATAAAAATAATATTAATTTTTTTCTTATAAAAAAATTTATCGAGTTTGCAATCGGTGATGATTCGGGATCATCATTGTGCATAAAAGAGCAAGTTCGGACAGTCGAGATACATGCCAAAATATTTTGCTTGATATTGTATATGTACAACAAACGTCAGAGCATTTTTGATTTTTCATTGCGTAGACTCTCGTGTTTCCATTGTGTAATATTTCTATCGTGGATCGTGACGTATCTTCTCGAACGGTCGCTCCGGTCTATGCAGACGGCACGCCGAGTCGACCTTGTAAATCAGCTCGGATGAACATCCCCGCGTAATCCCGAGTAATCCGGGACCTCGCTCGTTGAGTTTCGGCAGCCGGTAGAGAAACGACGGTCCCGGAGTACGTATTTCACGGTTTCTTTGTCAAATGGCACGGAAAAAAGATCGTTCCAAATGTCGAGATTTCTCATCTCGAAAAAATCGCCCCAATCATTACATAAATCTATCACCGGGAGATCCGCGAGTTGTCTGATCGAATAATATAGAATTTGCTCTCAGCATATTTTTTTATTAAAGATCACGAAACGATCATTACACATTATAATTACGGTAGAGTTCATCATAAAAATACTTGGGGTAGTTGAAAACTGCGCTACGCATTTAAACGCCGATTACGATGCAATTATTAATAGCAACGATAACGACACAGACTGTCATCTTAGCGTACACGGACTAGTAGTTCAGACCATCCGTTTGACGCGACAGCCGGCTCGCTCGTTCGCATCTGTTTTACCGGAAACAAGTCGCATTATTTACTATTTTATGATACCTGGGAAAAACTCGCGGGTTTATGGGTCAATTAAATGGAAAAACATCGTTCTCTTCGCTTCGTGTATGGACGTGTCATTAGCATCGTCGGCTCGTTGCCATCGCATTCTGTCCGCTTTTTCGTGCTCGTCGACGATTTTCTTGTTACGCATGTAAAATATATATACGCGTGCGATGTGCCTTTTATTTTTTCTTTTGTTCGCGCTACGGCAAATTTAATGGAACGCGGGACGAGTCACGCTGTGCGGCCCTTCTTTGTTGCATTACATGCCGCTGTGCGTTATCTCCCAGCGATGCTGCGGTAATAAAGGTATGAGAACGCGCACGTGTCACATATAACTCATCGTCGCTTGTCTGGGATCGCCGAATGTCTCGAGCATTAGTCGAGAACTTTCACGGAAACAGATGCTGTCTGTTTCCGTCAGCGCGATGATCTTACGACGAGTATCGTTTTGTGAAATTCGATGTTTATTTTTACTTACAACATTAAATTTGCATACGAATCTATATATCTAAAACGTTGCAAAAAATTTAGATAAAGACAAAAAATTAATTAAATACGTCATTAATATGCGTGTGACAAAGATATGATTTTTAGACTATCATTATTTTATTTAAAATAATTTTTAGCCATTAATGATTAGGTTGATTAAATATGCTGTTTTATATGAATTATATTATCAATTTAATTGATTAGGAAGGCAGATGCAAAATAAAAAAATTGGTAAGTGAGATGTACATATATACAAATATAACTTATTCCCTCAGCAATCATTCATACGCTACACTTCACTTTGCCATTTGTATCGTGATTTCAAGAGAAGCAGCTCTTTCGGGGAGGGTTCTCGTAGGCGTCCAAGTGAGCCCGACGAGTGGAGCGCGGCGGGTCCATTATTGTCCGGCGCTTAATCTGTTTGTCGTATACCGTCGGCGGGCTGCTAAGTGGTATCCCATTCTATGGGTACCCCTAACAGTGCATGTACTAGGAACGGCGGAGACGAAGGGGCCCCCTTGCGAACGCGACACATGTTGTTACATTACGTCGCCCATTGTCGTCGCGATGCAACCCCGGGGCTCCGCTGCGCTCGGGATGGTTTTGGTTGGTGTGAGATGAGCACAGGAGAGACATGGGGAGCTCTAATCGCGTATCACTTGACACTCCATGACCAGGACCTCTCTTACCGCGTGTGGTCTCCGCCACCCGGTCGCTGCTTCGCCTTGCAACGTGTAAACGTATTATTTTTATATGATGTTTTTTTAAATCGGCCAACAGAGCCAAAGCACGAAAAATTAATTATTCGGAACTGTATCTCTTGGTTTGAGATCACTAAGTTCCATATATAAATTAATCTCGAAACTTACATATGGAGAAATAGGCGCGAAAATTATTACTATTTCTCCATATGTAAGTTTCGAGATTAATTTATATATGGAACTTAGTGATCTCAAACCAAGAGATACAGTTCCGAATAATTAATTTTTCGTGCTTTGGCTCTGTTGGCCGATTTAAAAAAACATCATATAAAAATAATACGTTTACACGTTGCAAGGCGAAGCAGCGACCGGGTGGCGGAGACCACACGCGGTTAGAGAGGTCCTGGTCATGGAGTGTCAAGTGATACGCGATTAGAGCTCCCCATGTCTCTCCTGTGCTAGAAATAGGCGCGAAAATTATTACTATTTCTCCATATGTAAGTTTCGAGATTAATTTATATATGGAACTTAGTGATCTCAAACCAAGAGATACGGTTCCGAATAATTAATTTTTCGTGCTTTGGCTTTGTTGGCCGATTTAAAAAACATCATGTTTATATTCTTAATATTGAGAGTCGATAAAAATATTTCTTTCTGATGGTATTATTTTATGTTTCTATCGTGTACGATGCGCATTTTGAGATGTATTGTGAGGTCTCACAAACAGAATGTTGGGAGATGAATATGAAACATGTATATGTATATATAGATACATGAATGTCTCACACTTCTCCTGTCAACAATAATCAAGCAAACATATAATATTTTATGTTTTAATTATATGTCAAAGTTTTATTTCTCACACACATGCATAATTATTTATCATTTATCTGTTTTTCTTTTATATTTTATGCTTCTACACGGAGAGAATTCTCTCTTATTGTTAGAATTTATCCTGAAAATCATGTTAATTGTGAAACAATACGATATTAGAAGAATTTTATAACAATTTCTTTGGTTAATATTTACCACAATAAAAATATTAATATGTACATAGTAAATTTTACTATATATATAGTAAAATTAATCGAACATATTTTACATCTTATTGTGGTAGATATTAATATGTTTTATTGCGGTAAATATTAATTAGAGAAACTCTTATAAAATTCTCCCAATACCATGTTGTTCCATAATTACCATGATTTTTCGAGTAAATTCTAAGAGAAAATTCTCTCAATGGCATGTTTTACGGTATATTAAAAATGACGAATATTGTGTATTTTAAAATATTATGTTTTTATTAAAAACTATTTAATGATTCTGCTAACTAAAACACGCGCGAATGTTGTAGGAAAATTGATTTCGTTAAAGGATCGTCGGATGTTTCGTTGATTAACGCGATCGCAACAAGAAGGTCGGAACAATACGTTGTATCTTGCGTGCAAAGGGGGTTAAACGAAGGATGGGCCTATCAAATCCTTGACAAGATTTAATGCAGCGTACGTGATATATCTGTAACTGCGGCAGCAGGTATCCAAATAATGGATTCTGAGCCGCGACGCGGCCGTTATCAATCTTGAACAGTGTTTGCGGAGAGCTTGCGCAGATCGCCCTAGGGGTTGGCTTTGTGCGCGTTCGCTCCCCGACTCGGTCCCCGGCTCTTGCGCGTTGTGTTCCGCACGACGCTTTTCAGTAAGACGACCGCATCATGACTCTCGAAATTGCGAAGAATAATCAAAATAAGAAGGATAAATATGTCGCAGACATTTTATAATAATTGTATTCCCTTTAACGATAATAATTGTAGAACGCGTTACACGTTTTACGTCGCATCCCTAATTTTTCCCGACACTCGATGCTTGTCACAAGTCAATATGACATTTATAATCCGAGATTTCAAGCTGCTTACAGTTTTGTAATTTTGACATGCGTGTGCACATTATCGTTAGCGTTTAATATGCTGCTGATTCAGAACATGTTTCGACATATCCCTCTTTTCCTTCGTTAATAATGTTGAATCATTCTTCGCGCTCATCCGACATCATCATCATCATCACATCATGTAAAGAATTTACTTTGACTTACTGCAATATACTTTTTTTGTATAAAAATGTTAAAAAATATATTAACATAATTTATAATAATATTATTTATAATAATATTCTGGAATCTTTTGGAGCCACATAAAGTGTCTCACTTTAATCATATCATTCTTTTTTGATGATTTGTGTATTGATAAAACTGCTTTCTAAACTGAACGCTACCTGTTCCATATTGTTAAGCTGATTCATTCATTAAAAAATCTTAATTTATTTCAACATTCTTCTTCTTGCCATTGTTATAAAATCAAGATATTAGTAAAACATAGATTTAACTAAGGATGACCAAAAGTGTTTTAAAATTAAAGAATAGTGAAATAATTATATATAAACATGATTATTTGATATCTTTTCTACATCTATGTATTTTAAATATTAACAATATGATATAAAATGTATTTTTATGAGTATTAAGATATATTAAAATTAATTCTGTAATTTATTCTCTAAATGAATGATAAATTGAATAATTTAAATAATAGAATGTATATAATTAATTTTGTATTTACTGAAATAATTAAATATATGAATTATATATATAAAATTAATAATTAAATAGACGAATATCTTTCAAACTCAGCATATCCTGTATCTAATTGTAATCCGACAATATCATGATTTTTTTAAAACCAGTATTGAAATATATTCCGTACCGTATAATGCCATTGCTATTTTTCTTTTTTTTCCATCAAAGCGTGGAAAAAAATATTAAGATATTTTTGAATACTGATGTCGGTCTTGATTAGTCCAATAACAACATTTCTGTAATTACGTTTACATTTACAATAGTCAATTTTATCAACCGGCTTTAACAAGATCGCAGATAGGATCTTATTGACATTTTTTTGATCACAAACTTTTCGTAATCAGCTGAATGGATAATTTCGGCGGATTATTTCGAGGATAATTTCATTCGCCGCGCGTAAGGACATTGCGGCGGCACGGTACGTCCTCATTAAGAGGCAAAAATTAAGGGCCTTGTTAGGGGTGGTAAATCGGGATCCTTTATTTTGTTCCACTCCTTCCACCTTTCTTTCTTTTACCGCGTTCGCCGATCTTTTTCCTTCCATCCTGCTCGTTCTTTCGCCAAATCTTGTTCTTTTTGTTCTCCACCCCTTCCTCTTTTGCCAACGAGATGTTCACTCGTTCGAGAGCGCAAGTCCATGAGGTCCTGGGATCGATTCTCGGCTCAGCAGGAGAGGCTCCTCCTACCATGACGGCCATCTTGCAACCAGCAAGTCTCACTATATCACATCACACTTCACTGCATCGAAGTTGCATACTTATATCCAGCTATACGCTCGTATCCTCGGACCATCCCGTTTTGGTCCCTAATCGACATTTCCCTAGTGATGTCCATACATGCTGTCATATTTTTGTCGGAAAATGGTCGTTTAATTAAAAAAGGTATTATTGCAATAAATTATTAATTTCTAGGACGTACAAAATATTTTTTTTTTAATTTAGCATCTTATAAAAATGATAGTAAATATTTCCGCGAAATATGTAAGTTAATTGCTGCATATGGAAAATAAATTTAATATTGTATTTTAGATAAATAAATTATAACATCATAGATAAATAAATATATAATTATTTCTTTTTTTAAACTTCGATCCGAAGGAATTGATAATAGAAGCGCGTTCTTATTTTTGTTGCAGGTGCTGAAGTATTGCGACCACTTACATGGAAAATGGTACTTTTCCGAAGTACGCGCAATTTTCTCGCGACGATACCTGCTGCAAAATGTGGCCATCGAAATCTTTCTCGCCAGCAGAAGTAAGTAATTCCTTTCGTTTCGCTCGTCCTCAATCAGCGCGTCGCTTTCGAACGAGAGCGCATTCCGTTTCTTGTTCAAACTCCGCGAGCCCTTATTTCGCGCGACAAAGACACGATTTAATCTGCCGAATAGCAGCGGAATCCCGAGCTCGCCGCAAGGTGTGCGCGCGCGTATTACTTTTTACATAATAAATATCTCGCCCGCATTACGGTATGCCTTTTTCTAAGATCGGTATATTATTTAATCCTCTAAGCACACCTGCTGCCGTTTCTGTACAACATACACCGTAAATGTAATTTAACATATAATGAAGATTGTAAACTCTATATTTTCGACAAATACCGTCATCTTTAATTAATATAAAGCCGCTAAATTTATTCTACATATTACTAATTTAATGACAAATATTTATGATCCTAAAATTTCGCATTGAAGCATTAATTACCAATAACGCTTTTTAATTACCAATAAACATTTTTGTTAACAAGTCTTTGTTTATCCGGGCGGATCGTCGTATCCTATAACACACAAGCGATATGCGAGAGAATTATTTATACCTGTCTCACGAGGACTCCACTATCCCGCTGATTATTTCTCCGAGGCGCAGATAAATTCCCGGGTCTTCTCCGATTCTAATCTGATCTCGACTTTCGATGCGTCGCGCGGAGACGTTAACGGTGGAATGTCATCCCTGCGAGGAGCCTTCGTCGTTCATTAAAAAATCAGTTGAAACGCGCGTTCATTAGCCCGATGTCGGAGAACACGTTGGATCGCGTCTTTTCTCGCGATAAATCGTCGAACAATAAAATCGAGAATGAGTTATTTTATACCGCGATACAACTTTCAATCGGCCGATCACCATATGTTTGTGGCCACCATGCTACGGTCACTCAAAATTATCAATATTTATGAAGACGTTTTCTTGTTTTCGAACGTAATAGCTGTCAATCCTGCCTAGATAATTCTCTTATACCGCTTCTTCACACATTATCTTATGTCCGCTCACATAGATATGCAAGATATGCATTATCGGACGGTTCGATATACCATTGGAAATAAGGAAACAGTTTTTGCAATAAAGTGTATGACTACATTTGATGCTGGAGCATCTGCGCTTATCGGTAATATGCGCAATACCAGCATGAATTTAAAGAAGAACAGCTGAAGAGGATATTGAATATTTTATAAACAAGTGTACACAAGAAATATTATAAAAATTTAATGCATATGGAGTTGTCAGAAAAGTCGATTTAGATTACTTAAATTGAAAATGTTTTTATATACGATATACATAAAAAAATAAATGTAGATCAACATCTATTCTTTGTTTAAAAGAAAGAAAAATATCAACTTTTCGTAAAAAAGGTTTCATCATTTAACGTTTAATTAACTACATACTAAATATACACATAGAGTTGAACGATTAAATATCCTTCATTTTAATTGATATCACACATATTACTTTCTATACAAACAATTTTCTAAATTACAAGGAAGTATTTATGGTACTCGTCTTCTCGTGTACTACTCTTAAATTTTCGAGAGAACGTCGCAAACGAATTTTAAACGATTAAATCCTTTCTTCACTTTTTAATATCATTCGGTAAATTACAAGCTAATTTGAATCTATAAATTGATTGGAAATATTATTATACAATAAATTACACTTATACTTATTAATTTATCTCCTTGCAGCATGATACATCTTAATAGTGTATATTAATATAATTATAATTAAATAATGATAGTCTTATGACATCCAAAAGACTAATATTAACGCGCTTTATATCTTTATCATATAACATCTCTTCATTAAACTATAACCTTAATCATTCTCATAAATATATGTCAATCTCAGAAATTTAAACAATATACTATAAAAACAGGAATCCGCTCTTATTCATCCTCTAAATGATTGACATAGCTAGGAAATCAGCTAGGCTCTCTTATAATTTGCCTTTTAACGCCTTTTTGTCCACAGCCTCGATCCTGTTTGCGTTCTCGGACGGTGCGACGGTGAAAAAGATGATCAAGGCGCTACCGCGAGTCGGCGTTGGCATCAAATACGGGATACCCCAGACTAGGTAAGCGATAACTACCTAGATATTGCGAAGAAGGAAGCGCTTCTGTCATTCCTTAGGGATCCGAGGACCTCGAGGAGTCTGTTCCCAAACATGTTCGTCACATTCCCCCGTTTCTTTGTCCTTTTCGGTAAAGCGATTCCAGGGACGGATTCTCTCGAGAGAGGCACTTCTATAAATATTTATCAGAGATTATACAGTAGCATATAAATACGAATGTGTAAATTAGACGTAATTAGTGAACTCAGTTGAGAAGAAAATTGGGATAGAAAATTATTTATTATGTTAGATAATGCTTCAGCATGTTGACTTTCGAAAGTGAAAATAAATATTGGCTATAATAAGTGCTAAAAAATGATAATATATTTACAATATTTTAATTGCATATTTATATATTATATATATCTACTATACTTGTAAATATATGTTTTGCTTAGTACATTTTTCTAAGCGATACGCGAAATAATGTATTATTTATAAGGTACTTATATTATCTCTACTATTTTGCTAAACATCGTGAGGCAACCAGATATCGTTGAATTTGCAAACTAAATATATATTGAGAAATCAAACCATTCATATGTAGCAACAGTGAAAGTTTATATATATATATATATATATATATATATATTTTCATAGATTTATTTTATATTTTACATATCTATTTCATATTTTTCTCATAAGACATCGAACTTTATTGCACCTGAAAGAACAATAGTATGACAATATGAGCGAATATACCTAATGAAAGATAGCAAGAGTGCAAATTCGTTCCTGCGTTCTCGTATTCGCGAACATCCTAAGAGAGACAAAGATCCTTACAGGATACCAAGCCTTCTATAGGTTGGCGAGAGTTGGCGGCGACAACAGAGGTTCGCGTATCCTTGCTTTGACTCATCCATTAGAGCTCTCCTACATACGAGATAGTCGGCGAGAAGGATACATCGGCCATAAATATACGACAGCGAAACTCTGACGTTACTGATCCGAGGAGAGAATTCCTGGCTAAGAAAAAAAAGAAAATAATTCGCCGATATATAAAACGCGAAACCGCGCGTTGTAATGAAACAAAAATTGCGCTGCATGAAAATAAATTCGTAAATAAGAAAACTTCTTAATTAACGTTTAATTTAACTCACATATTATTTTGATCCGCATATTATTTTGACATCTTAAAGAAATATTACATTTATCGTTCATAATTAATTTTAAAATTACACTTGTAGAAGTTTAAAGTATGCATAAAATTTTATCGCTCTCTTCTCAATTTTATCAATTTTAGTTATCAAAATATTCTTATATAACGGTATATTTAATATAATATAAATTCGTTTATATGAATGAATTCGGAAGAATAATGTCGAGCATAATGTCGAAAAGTATATAGCTGCTAACATACAATCGTAAAAAGTTATATTTAATTTAGCCACTTTGATCTGATGTAATGAATTAGTATACAGTCTTAATTAGTAGAAGATTCTACTACGATTATACATATATTTACAAAAGTATCGGAATTTTGAGCAGCGCCAAAATATCAAGGATATAATTTTAGTCTAAAAATATTAGCGTTTATCTTTATTTATTAACACTGTCATAAATCGATAGTAATTAGGCATTTCCTTTAGCATATCAGTTACATGTTAATTTACATCTACCGACCTTGCTGAGAACATTAATCTACTCCACAGGCAGCGCGAATAGGATGTAGAATCTTATAATCAAAAGCTTCATCCAGGCAGGACAAGTCGTTGTATATTTTTTACATATACCTCACATACATTTATTTTAATTACATTTGGATTATTCTATGAAAAAAAAATCTAAAATATTTTGTACTTGAAATCTTTTCACATTAAAGAGAAAGAGATTGCATCTCGACAATTATATGCTTAAGAATTGCAGTCGGTAATTTCGCCGATCGCCGATTGCAATGGAAGTTTTCACGCTTGCATGAAATTTATGCGAGATCTGCGTCCCAAGGGTTGAATTTATGCGTCCGGTCGTCATCGTGCGCGCTCTTTTAACGTACATCCCAAGGATGCACGCCCGTTAAAGTCCTCGTATAAATCCTAAATCAACGATCTCCGCGTTCATAAAGTCGCGCGACACAAACTTTATGGCGCGAACGCGAAGTACGGCGAACGCGTTCTAACGTAATTGCTCTTATGAATTGAGAACGACTGCGGTCTTAATTGCGTATCAAAGCCGATGCAAAGCCTGCTCGTTTGATTTGGCAATTAAAGCGACGCGTCTCGCACACTGTGGTCTGCAATTTGGCATGTAATTATGCCAGTTTCGCGCGAAACTGTAAGTCCTTTAGTCGTTTCGATTACGTATACTTCATTGTTGGCACGTGCAGCTTCCATAATTACATGCATATGAATGCTCTTATTTCCATGCGTCCATATGTAACCTTTTATGCTTCGAGCAGATATTTTAGATGACGATAAAAATAGGTTGAAAGTAAATTGAATATATTAATTATGAAGCCGTTAAAATGACATTAATGAGTAGAAAACGTTGCTATTATTAACACGATGACAGAATTAAGAAAAAAAATTATCGAGTAAATCTGTTATTTGCTTACCGCTTCTATTAGAATATTTAGGCAACTGAAAATTTATTATACTTATGTTACATTAATTATATATAAACAGTTTAGGTTTGAATATGTTTATATGGATATTATAATTTGTAAAACCTAATTTATTTTACAGACGAGCATCGTTGATGTCACCGCGACAATTGATGAGAAGCTCCAATATGACACAAAAGTGGCAGCGTCGAGAAATTTCGAACTTCGAGTATCTAATGTTCCTGAACACAATTGCCGGTAAGTGTATACCTCTTTACACGAATAAAATAATCGAGCGCGTGGTGGTTTGCACGAATGCCGATAGAGAAATTTCCAGAATGAAAGTAGCGAAGATGTCGGGTTTTTTTATGGTTTGCGCACGGACGGATGGAGACTGTCGCGCCGCATTAGGGATGTTCTCAATCAGCCCTGTGTTCCGTTAGCTACCCCATGCGAGTAATCCCGACCTCGTGGGCCCCGGTAATCCTCTCCCAAGGGACCCACCACCACCATCACCACCATCCCTCTTGCTCCGCTTTGCCGAGGGCGAAATGAAGGCGCGTCTTTGTTTCTCTTCGGTTTAATATCCGCTCCCTCGCGCGCTCATCGAACCAAATCACGAAATTCGAGACGCCGCCGGTCTCGTGCACTTTTTAATGGGACAGCTCGGACGCCCCTTCACAGATCACCCAGCCGAGCGCATCGCCACGGTATTCCAAATCACCTTGTTGGCATTTACTAATTTTTTTCCTTTTTCTTCGAACGCGATTCTTATCGAAGATTTAACGATACGTTTACGCGCGATATCAGGTTTCTACTCACCGCGTGCTTTTATTTATCTCGTACCTGTGCACGATGGGATAGAATTAATCTTTTATTTCACGGAAGAGAGAATTCAATGCGCGGATCATTTGTCTTTAATATTACACGTATGAAGCTTAGGAGAAGAGAAACACAAACGTATCATCAAACGATTCTCTTCACGTGCCGCGAGGTTCATCGACTCCCGGGAGTGATCGATCTCTCTCGGCAGTCCTTCTCTCCCCAGGCAAAGGTTCCTTCGATAATAATCGTCGGCGCGCACGCACGATAGTGCGTCCGGGCGGCAAGTTGCGATCGTCGCTGATCGCAAGGATATTAACCGGCCGCGATTCTCGTAAAACGAGAGTCGGTTTTTTGACCGCTCTCTCGCCCAAGTTGTAAGTTATACCGTCCGCGTGGGATTTATGCGCGCCCACGCACGCACACACGGTGCGTGCTTTAATGACGGCGATGAGCACGGACGCGTAATTATTCGCATTTTGGCGCAGCGCGCCGCGATTGCCCGGAGGTGGCCGCGCCGCGTATTTACGACGGTTATATATTAATTGCTTGAATAAATAGCCGTGGGTAGCGATGCAACGGCGAGGGAACGGAACGGCCGCGAAGGCGGCGAAGGTATAAGAGAATCGAAAACGAACCGGTCGGACTCCCGCATCCCGATATCGCGAGGGTTTATTTGCTCGCGCCCGCGCATCGGTTTATTAAAAATTAATGACAGCGAATCCGATGTAAATACGATAGCCCGCACCGCCGGTGTATGTACAGGCTGGACTCACGAAGAACGATCGCCGCCGATCGATGTTTCTTTCCTGTGAAAGAGAGAGAAGCGCAAACGAGATGTGTTATCGGAGTAAGAATGACAAATGGTTTTTGCATCAAAAATATCTTGATAGTCCGAAATTGTTTGAGAAACTTCTCTCATGTTTGGAGAATAGTTTTACAACACATTTCGCGTGAAAATGCGAAAAGCAGAGAACAATATTAATTGGTTTTGTTTTTTTATTATAGGGAATTATATGTTAATCGTGATCCTAAGTTTCATTCTCTTTTCGATGTGTGCAATTTCTTCAGGTGCATTTCTTCTTATTTTACAACGATATTTTTCATTTCTTTGCATTCATTTTATAATCGCATCTCGTGGATCAATCTTTATAATTTAATAAAAAAATCTAGTACCTATATTTTTTCAAATAATTATAAAAGTATACAAATAAAACGCGTCGTATACAGATATGACGTGAACCATTAGTTAATTGATATTATTCCGGTATATTGTACAATAAATAGTATATTGACGTACCAGTATTTCTCTGTATAACTGCCGCATTTATTTCCCAAAATGTATGCGGTTCGTTTCATATACGCCGAATCAGGGACCTTTTCGTCCCAGGTAGTTGCCAACAGGTCGTCGCCTTCGTTTTCGATCGTATCTAGACTCTGGTTCTGGTTTGCAGTGAATTATTACCAAGGATGCAGTGACAGCGAGATAAAACGACCGACCCATCGAACCATTAGTACACACATGTCTATAATTACATGCACAAAAGCAGTTTACTCCAATCGACGTAAACTCAATGGCCTACGATTATTCTCGTTAATTAAATTACGCGTGGTGAGTTATGCGAATGAAAAAAAAATGAATATAAATCCAAAAGACTTGTTAAAAATTATTTTATTTATTGATAATTATGCCATTATCTCGTTTGGTAAAATTTTTCCGAATATCGTTCGTATTTCTTCCGGATCGAGGAAGGAAGATCCGAATCCCTAGAACGAGAGAAGCGAGCGGATAGAAGGGTGTGTGTGTGTCGCGAACATTCCGCTGTCGAGGCGCGTTCCACGAGCGCTCACTCACGCCGACGCTACCATTAATAATCACTTTGATGCATAACGCGGCCTCGCTATTATTTACGCTCGGCCGTCGCTCGCGCCGGCCCCCACGATTTACAGGCGTATTGTAGAGACGGAGGGACTTATGTAGCGGCAGGCGCGGTACGACTTTGCCGTTGCATCGCCTTTTTTTTTCGTCGGGAATTAAGTATCCGACCGACGAGTTCGTTCTTGAAGATGGCTCAGCTTGGCGGATCCCGTGTCAGTTCGCGATGTCGCAGCTCGGTGATAAATAACGAGGCAGAGTCGATACCTCGAGAAATACGCTCTAGTAAAATACAATGGATCAAATAGCTTTTTTCTTTTAAAAAAAATGTAACAAAATTGCATATTAGCTTTTATTTTATACATTTTGTATTATATTATTTGTTAAACAATATATAGTAATATAATATTTAATTTTGTCATACTTAATTATCTAATTACTTCTTTCGCGCGATTACGGCGAATAAGAGCATTTCGGCGAATGGGATCGTTTCTTCGCAAGAGAAAACGGAGCAACGAGGGAGGACAGTAACACACGTGTATCCGTCATGAGGGCGCCGAGTGACAAACTCGCTGACGTGCTTTAATTAGCGACAGGGAAAGAGATTAGAACTCAGCCTTGGGACTCGGCGTTGCCGTCACTAATGCACCTCGGGATATGGGATTCCGTGGAGCTCTCGGGAAGGGAGCGAGCACGAGTGAGATCTCTGGGAGTGACAATTTCAGGAGCGATTAGCCGTCACGCTCTGAGTTATGCGCTTACTAAACGGCGCGACGCGCCCCATTGAACCGCGCACGACGCGTTTTTCTTAAAAATAGAATTACGATCTCTCGTGGCCGCTTTCATCGCTCCTCAGTTAACGGCTGGAGAGGAGTGACCGTAGTTGAGACGCAGGGTCAAGTCGAGGAAAAAAGTAGGCCGGCGATTATCCGCATTAAAAGCCGAACGCGCAATCTTCTCGTCTTCTATTCTTGGCAATGTATATGAGAAATTTAATTTAAGCATCCTTACTACCCTCCAGGACTTCTTCGTTCTTTCTTTCGCCCGAGATGCTGAGCGATGATTTAGATCGCGCGAGAAGAGAAAAAGCGCATGTATAATCGTAGCTTTGTCGAAATGTTGAAGGAAGCTTGCATTGATATTTATCGACAATGTGAAATAAATTGTATATAATGCAAAGAAATAATTTGCTCTTAATTTTAATGAAAATATATTTGTATTTTCAGGTCGCACGTACAATGATTTGAATCAGTATCCCGTATTTCCTTGGGTGTTGACAAATTACGAGACGAAGGAACTTGATCTCAGCTTACCGAGTAATTATCGAGATTTGTCAAAGGTATAGTATCAATAATTCTTCGTAAAATTTACATATGCACATTTTATATGACAATAAGAAAGATATTGTTTTTATTTTTTCATGCATGTCGTATACGAAATACATCGATGTCTAAAATATTGCGGCAAGAGTTTATACAAGAACGTTCACATTTTTTTCCAGCCGATTGGAGCATTAAATCCAAACAGAAGAGCTTATTTCGAGGAACGATTTCAAGGTTGGGAACACGACACTATACCACCTTTCCATTATGGCACGCATTATTCTACAGCGGCCTTTGTTTTAAATTGGATGATACGTGTGGTAAGTATTTTATTTTATTTTATGAAAGTTACATATTTGATTCGACAAAACATTACTCGCAATTTTGCTTCGCCTATTTAATCTGTGAAAAACGGATAGCATATTTTTCCAATAATTAGCATTCAAATATTTATCAGATAGAATGTATTTATTACCTCTATAAAAATAATTCTCGCTAAATACTCTCTGATTAGCACTGTCACGTCAGTTCATTTATAAACGTTGAACTAAAGTTTAATTTAACGATATAAAACCGGGTCTTTATTTATGTAATGGGCGTATAATTAACTTTCAATCGCTGATTTTTAGTCTTTCTACTTACGAAGCGTGTCCAGTCTACACCATAAATTTAAGCGACACTTTTAGTACTGCGTGCACACTAATTTGGGATCGTCGAAACGCCCTCGTGCCAACGACGCCCGCCTTCTCGTTAAATATACACATTTGTTTTCTGTTGCATTTCCTCGTTCACTTAAAGTTCAGAACGTAATTGAAAAACGTCTTCATTTTCCTTTGTTCTTTCTAAAACGGCGTATGTTTATATAGCAATGTTACTTCGTTGTATATAAATTGTCATTTTCCTATGTTTCATATATCGTCAATTTATATCACTCTTGGATTTGTATATATTTAATCAACTTTATATATTTAAACATGTTTGTATTTATATTACTGCATACATTTAAATGCAATTTTAATATATAATATACTCAATTATTTATTCGCTGATTAATGTTTCAGCGCATTAAAACACGTTGAAATATCACATCCCAAACAATTTATATATCTATAACTACTGTGTTTGTCCGCTGGAGAGACACGTTAACGACCTTGTTATATCTTTATTATATCTCAGGATCTTACCATAAAATCCAAAGAAATAGTTTGAAACTTGGTATGTAACGCGAACCGCTCCCATTAAGTTGCAAAAATTGATTTTATGCCCACGCTTTCGCGTGCCGCAGTACAAAAGTGCATCGATAATGTGTGTGGCCTTTCACCAGCGTCTATTCGCTCTGTCAACGAAACGGATGACTGACCGAGAATGAGAAGGGCTCCCGCAAGAGCCTTGTACGCACACAAAGGGCCGTCAAAGTATCTCTCTAAGGGTGCGTTCCGTTATGCACTGCAAGTACTGGCACTATGACGTCATGCAAGTGTACTGTTGACAGCGTTCCTTTTTAATTTTGTGCACTTTGAAGCTACTGCAAAATAGTAAAACGGAACGCACTACAGTACGCTTTCAGCAGACTTTTAACTAACCTTTTTCGCTAATAATCATCGAGTGAAAAATTGGTGAAATGGATAATACCATTATTGCATTAATTACATATAATTTAATCGAGAATATATATGATTCGAGTGAGTCATCAAGTGAAAGCGATTTGGAAATGGAATTAATAAATGAAATGAGACGACAAATTAAAATACCTAGAATAAAATGTAAAAATTACGTTAAAAATATTGTATCATTATATTCAGATATGGAATTTAAAAGTTAGTTCCATCGTACACATGGAGGTAGCCATCTTGATTACTGCGAGTGCTTTACCTCGCCAGTTGCAGTAATCGCAACAGGAAATAACGTCAAAATTAATGACGTCATATACTCATGATAGTACTTTCGCAGTGCACTGCTATCTATATCGGAACGCTATTGGTAGTACTGTCAGTACTTGCAGTGCATAACGGAACGCACCCTAAGTGGCGGTTTAGAACTACGCCGCCTTTTCTACGCCCCTGTCGCACTTTATGCTTCTACGTTTATCGTTATTGACGTTCTGCCGGATTAATGTGCTTGATTTACGTTAGGCTCGACTTAGAGTTCTCTAAAATGAGCCTCTCTGCCCTGTTTGTTAAATAAATTATTTTTTACACGTGTGTACGCAGGAACCGATGACAACTATGTTCTTGGCGTTGCAAGGCGGCAAATTCGATCACCCCAACAGGCTTTTTTCGTCTATCGCGCTCTCGTGGAAGAACTGCCAGCGTGATACGTCCGACGTTAAGGTTCGTTGCATTTAATTAAGATACTCGTAGAATTTACATTTCAGCCACGCCTCGGTGCGTCTAGTCGCATCTTTAGTGTTATCTTCATTGCATAAATTTTCTATCGTACGCGTCGCTTTTATACCGGAGATATACCGAGGATTTATTGACGGGACCATAAATTCGTCTTCTCATTAACAGGAGTTAATTCCGGAGTTCTTCTTTCTGCCGGAAATGCTGGTAAACAGCAATCGCTATCGTTTGGGCAGGCAGGAAGATGGTAGCGCGGTCGGTGATGTTGAATTGCCACCTTGGGCTTCGTCTCCCGAAGAATTTATACGTATAAATCGAATGGTATGAAATCTTATCTTTTTTCAAGTTTACGTTCAGGTTAAATTAATGTTACAAATTAAGTTAAAAATAATACCCAAGTAATACATGTACATATTTTCTTTTTACAATAAAATTGCATCTTCTCAGGCACTCGAGTCCGAGTTCGTATCTTGTCAATTACATCAATGGATCGACCTGATATTCGGTTACAAGCAGAAAGGTAAGATTAATTTAAAAATTGATAATTTATCAAATTTTCTACAATTATTAAAAATTACAATAGCTTTTTCTATAAATATATGTAAATCCATTACATATCTGGCATTTACATACGTCAAATATCGAAATAAAGAGAATCTCTGTCATTTTATATATAAATTAATGGAATTTTATTGAGATATATATCTCTATGCCTATCGCGAAATCGTTTTTGGCGTCAAGTTCAGACGATAACCCATGAATTGAGTCAATAATGCGCACAATGGCAGGCGCCGTTCGCGAATACCCTAGGATTGCGCCTTGGGTGTTGAGACAGAAGCAGTCGAGTCAAATTAGATTTCCACCGATGGTAATTGCGGATGGCGCCTCTATATCCGGCGCTTCCCCGAAGATGCTGTCCCAGCATCGGGAGGGCAGCGAGGGAACAAGGGAGGGTGCCTGGCGCGTATGGAAGGAATTAGTTTTTAGTTAGCTTCCTCTCTCGGGCCCTGTCCCGACCAATTAGGCACGTGTGCCGAGCGTGACAATGCGTCCCACCCATAATATGCAACACGTTTACGCGAGCAGCCGGTAGCAACACGAAAGTAGAGTCAACCGGAAATACCGGCCACAAGCAATCGCCTTGGGGACTCTCAGAATCGTTCTCGAGGAATGCATCGTGTCGCGCAATGTGGCGATGAAATAAATTATAAAATTGTAACGAGAGAGGCAGAGATACGCGGTAGAATCTTTTCGTACAACTTTCCGACTATTTTGTTCTCACGTAGGTCCGGAAGCCGTGCGTGCGACCAATGTTTTCTACTATTTGACGTACGAGGGTAACGTGGAATTGGACACGATCAACGATGTCATGATAAGAGAAGCGATCGAAAATCAAATTAAGAATTTCGGACAGACGCCATCGCAGCTCTTGATGGAACCACATCCTCCGAGGAGTTCAGCGATGCACTTGGTAAGAGATTACTTAATACATTACGTGTATATTAAGTATATTATATATATTAAATTGATACGAAAAGAATTGACATGATCTTAAAACATGGAAAATATTCTTCCAGTCACCAATGATGTTCTCGAGCATCCCGGATGACGTGTGTATGACCATCAAGTTCCCGTCTAATTCGCCGATCTGTCACATCTCGGCTAACACTTATCCCCAATTGCCACTGCCATCAGTTGTGACGGTAACTACCGGACAACAGTTTGCTGTCAATCGGTGGAATACCAATTATGCAGGTAAAGACATTTTCTACATGTTTCAGTACTTGAGTCTCGCATAGTATTTTGCTTACTGTAATTTCAATTTTCCGTAGCATCTGTGCAATCTCCGAGTTATGCAGACACACCTCAGGCTCAGGCTGCCAACCAACCATTATCTATGGACCCTGTTCTCTGTAAATACACACGTATATAAATTTAGTAATATTATGTATTATATATATATATATAAGAGACACTGACAATGAGTGCTATTTCATATATTTCCAGCTCAAGCGGCAAATAGCTCAAATCCAATGTTACAACGTCGACATCTAGGCGACAATTTTAGCCAAAAACTCAAAATTCGCAGCAATTGTTTCGTCACCACTGTGGACAGTCGATTCTTGGTGGCCTGTGGATTTTGGGATAACAGTTTCCGCGTCTTTTCGACCGAAACAGGTAAATTTTGATGTTTCATGATTGATTAATCGCGCTAGCACACGACATATAAATGATAAATAAATAGTTATTAATAAATAAATGGAGAATAAATAATCGCTTGCACATGGCAGAGTTTTAGAAAGTAGGAAAATGTTTTTGCAGCAAAAATCGTCCAGATAGTCTTTGGTCATTACGGCGTCGTCACTTGCTTATCACGCAGCGAGTGCAACATCACTTCCGACTGCTACATCGCATCCGGAAGCGCGGATTGTACCGTCCTTCTCTGGCATTGGAACGCCAGAACTCAAACCATCGTCGGCGAGGGTGAAGCACCGGCACCACGTGCCACCCTCACAGGTCACGAACAGCCTGTGACAGCCGTCGTTATATCTGCCGAATTGGGTTTAGTTGTTTCGGGATCGCATTGTACGTATCCAACAAATTTTTAAAAAATGTCCATTCTAAAAATATGTATTTCTTTTAAAAAATTGTATAATTATTGACTCATACATGAATTGTATGCATATATCATTTTGATATCTGATATTATAGACGGTCCAGTACTTGTTCATACTACTTTCGGCGATCTCCTAAGATCGCTCGAAGCACCGAACGGATTTTCGTCACCCGAAAACATCGCTATGTCACGCGAAGGCGTTATTGTGGTGAATTATGAGCGTGGACACATAGCGGCGTTTACCATAAACGGAAAGCGTCTTCGTCACGAGTCTCATAACGATAATTTACAAGTAACTTTCGATTGTTTATTTTTTTTAATAATTTGTAACATTTTGTCTTTATTTCATCATTTTTTTTATTTTTAGTGCCTATTGCTAAGCAGAGACGGTGAATATTTGATGACAGGAGGCGACAAGGGTATCGTAGAAGTTTGGCGAACTTTCAATCTTGCTCTACTTTATGCTTTTCCTGCATGCGAAAGTAGCGTGCGTTCTCTCGCGCTCGCTCATGATCAAAAGTGAGTATAATTCGACATCTTAAAGATAGCTTTCCGAAATTGTTTAACGATGTGATGCAACATTAGCATGAAGTCAAGCGCCTTATCCCTATTCTAACAAGCATCAATGCATTTTGTTTTACAGGTTTCTTTTAGCTGGTCTGGCAAATGGGTCCATTGTGATATTCCACATCGACTTCAACAGATGGCATCATGAGTTCCAGCAGCGTTACTGAAATTACGATTTCCTCTTCGCCTAAGAAAGTAAGGCGAATCCCATAAAATGTTAATACAGACTTTTGCGCTTATCTCTTCAAATGATATGACAATTTTGAACCTATATGTATATCTCGGACAAATAGCGCTTCGTTCGTGTGATTCCTCGTTGATCGTGGGTCATTCGCGAGAGTTTACAAATGTGCAAATAGAAACAGAAATATTAATTTGCGCGACATTTGTACGGGCCAGCTTCTCGTCAGACAGTTCTAGTTTTAGATTCGCCGCAATTTATTCCAATTTAAAATAATCAGTCAGTCGTTTCGGATCGAGTGCAATGAGCGGCAATGAAACGAGTACTGTATTTTTAAGCGTATATATGCTGTGGATTTTAAACGTTCAGCAATAAACTCGCTTTTCGTGGCTGCGTGCAGTGCTTCCGTAAGGAGAAACGTTCGAACGGAGGAAGATATAAGGCGCAATCACAGAGATGCAATCGGAATTTCAGGTTTATATCTCTGCGCTTAATTAATATACCGAGTCAAACCCACATCTCTCAAGCTAATAAAGCGTGAAAATTATACGCGTGTCGCTCGAAACGCTAGTCAATTAAACGAAGACTCGGATCTACTTATTTGCGGATTGTTCGCGTGATTTCGTCTCACGCGAACGTAAAGAAAGAAGAGCAGTCTACGCTCTACCGGGGAAAAATAAACCGCTGATAAAACAGAAAGAGAGGAAAACCGCGCGTCGACAAAGATGGCGGAGCTATGTGAACATATGTTATTTTTATGCCTGAAACTGCACGTGGATTTGGCCACGACACTTTAGCGTTAATGTCCAATGTAAATACGGATATATTCTTCACGTTATATATATAAATATATATATATATATATATATATATACATACACACACGTACATACACATGCGCGCGCGCTTAATTCCGTATATATCAGATGGGCGGAGGAGGAGATATGCGTATTTTATCGCGAGAGATTTGCATTGTATTCTTCGCAGACGCGTATTAATGTCGCTCACGTCGAACTTTTTGGCTAAGCACCTTGTACGTTCAGTTTGGACTACGAATGCACTGCGAACGCACTGCGTATATATGCACTGATGCCGACGCGCCGGAAATGGAGATGTTGCGCGGCGAAAGTTTTTCGCTAATCTATATCGAATTCTCCGGATCGTGTGGTATCAGTTACCCGCTACACTTTCTACACCCTAATATTCGCGTCCTTCAAAAGAGATCCTAATTTTTATCAAAGCCGTCCAGCTTAACTTTCGCGAGGATATTTCTTAGTATTTTCGCACGCGACGTATATTAATCAGCAAAGCAAGTTATTTAGGCTAAAAACGACATCCCGAATTCATCCTTAAACATTCCGCGACTTGTCGAGGATCGTTTGTGTGTAAATGCGTCATCGGTGATCCCCTTAGGATTACCTCGAGTGACGATGATAGAGCAGAGTATACGAGAAGGGAGAGAAAGAGAAAGAAAGAAAGAGCGCGTAAATGTGAGAATGAGAGAATGCAGACATATATCTTACATCCAACAACGATGGGGAAGAAGATGCTTGATCGTGCATAAGTGGTAGAATTTACTCTGGCTGGATTTTCGTTCGTACGTCATCGTAGAACGTGTGATAGCTGTCTCGTAGGTATTACTACTAAATACTATTGTCATTCTGAGTCCTGTTTCACGAAGAAACCGTAAAACATGGGACATATAGGTATAGCCTTCAGTTATTTGTACGTATGATGAATATAGTGTCTTGTTGTCATCTCAGTTAATCTTATGTAACGAGTCATTATTTATCTATCTAGGGGAAAATCTTTCATTCTGTTGTCGCTATGTTTAATAGCCATACGACTATAACGAATGTATTTCTATAGTTATCGCAACAGTAGTCAGAAAATCTTCGTGTATACGAGAGAATGATGAGAAGTGTAAGGGCGCGAAAAAAGAGAGGAGAGAATAATAAGCAGATAAGAGGAAAAAAAAAGAAAGCATAAATGTAGTCTATTTGGAGCGAATATTTCACGGATCGCAGTTGATTATCGCGACGATTTAAGAAGATGCCGTAAAATAGATATTGTTATATTATATATAGTCATTATTATATAATTATAAATAATATTATATATAATTATATTTATTATAATTATCATTATAATTATATATAATTATATACTTATATTATACAATTACATTATATAATAATTGAAGCGAGTGAATCAATCATTATTTGCTTTGCTTATTTGAATGGGTGATGTGTTAGATTCAATTCTAATTATCTAGTTATCGGACTAGTCGAGAAAAGTGACTTGAAAGAATCTGAAATATTAATGAAAGCAGTTTAGAATTTTCTAAATGGCCGAAATTTTTCGCACTTTTGACAATTTTAATAAATGATGACATTTAACGATGAACGTTTCCAATGTTGGAAAAAAATGAATTTTAACTTGTTGTTTGGTGCACCGGCAGAGATAGATTTTCGATACCTCGATACGTGTTCTAGTCAAGGATTACCGTCGAGTAATCGTCGCGAGTCATCTGCGATCCGCAGCATTTATATAAGTATCGATACACTTAAAAGATATGCCGTACTGTTTATACGTGTAGGTGTATAAAGTAAAGTAAAGGTATAGTGCCGTCGTTTTTCAAGCGATCAATCATCACCTTGAAATTGCGAGAGATCACGCGTAGCGGTTACGATCGTAAAACATCGATTTCTGCTGTGCACCGGACGATCAGGTGGCAATCCGCTTGCACAACCAATAATCGTACAATTTTTAAGCGTATAGGAGAAATGTTACGTGTACAACGTGTTAATAATGGTGTATTGCCACTCTCGTTATATGGGCGTGCTTTTGCATGATCGTATGTTAGTACTGTTCTGTTGATTTCGTTCGTGCAAAAAAAAACAGACAAAAAATAAACAAAAATGAATGAACGAGAAAGAATTGGCAATCGAAGGATAGAATGAAAGGATACGAGAAGCCAAGGATTGAGGGTTGTGTCTGAGTGCTTTCAATAATATCGCTAACTCTGTCGCATACGTGTGGAAAAGAATTTCTCTGTCACACATGTAAATGTTTACGTGTATCGATGTATAGACGCGTATTCTCTATCGACATTTTATTTTCGCTAAATGAAATACGGTTATAAGCGAGAAAGAGAAGCATACGAACCATTCCAACTGCATTTCCTGCTTTTTGCCAATTGCATCTATCAATGGGATTGATCTGAAACAGAGGAAGGAATATAAATAAAATTGGCGCTCCTTATTTACGTGAATATGGTAAAATTTGAAGAAAAAGAAATAATCAATGTGCGCTAATATGGGAAGACGTTTGAAGACATGTATTTGCAAGTACGATGTGTCAACCAGGCGACATCCATTTTCGCATTATTGATTAATGAGCGCAAAGGCAGCGTAATGGATGAGAATGCATCGTAGTCGATAAGAAGTCGCATAAAAAAAAAGAGTTTTTATATTTGTTTATAGATGTGTGAGAATGTGCTGCACTCTTTAAGCAAGTTGTTAGTGAATTCCCTCCATATTGCTAATATACATAAAGGAAGTTAACTCAGATCGATTTCTGTCCGCGTACTTGAACATTTCAGTACATAAAAAATATCGCTAAATATTTTAAATAACGCTAAGTACAACGCTACAAGAGTTTGCCTATATTATTATTACGATTTATTGTCATTATATTATTATTATTCTTATTATACGATTGTGTGATTACACATTAACGTACTTAATATTAACGATTAATCTATATACAGAAGCATAGATTTGTATATTCGTCGGATAAGGCCCTTAATGTTTGCGTGTTAAGTGATAATAATTTACTTATACCCACATTACTATAACGAGAAGGCGCGAGAAACTGTCAAGTTTTATCCGGTTCGTTCATATATTCAATATAATATGCCGCGAGCTGCCCGTAGAAAAGTACTTACATCTAGATTAATCAATGCGTCTTTAATGTTTTATAAGCATAATCGCGGGCTGAAAGAAATGAAAGATGAACGACGCTGCAAAACACACGCGACACGGATATAACACTCAAGCGCTTACTTAATTAGGCTCGTATTATCTACCTAAGTCTGGTTTAAGCTTTTCAAAAAGAGACTGTTTAAGAGTGACGCGGGAGGGAGAAAGTATAGTCAACGTAATAATCAGTAGCAAAGAAGCTCAACAGGATGTGGTAGATCGATATCTCGATACTCACGAGAGAGTGTGTAAAATCGAAAAAGAAGCTTTTGTCATGTACGATCATTTTTTTACATCACACATGGATAGTCAATATAACAACACACCGTAGCCGTGAAAATTGGAGCAACCACTCGATCATCGCGCGGATCCAATGGAGGCTCGCCCCGTATATATATATGGTAGTATATATACATATATGGTTTGTGCCGAATAATGTTTTTATAAACATCCGTTGACTCGTTTCTCTGTCTCCGAAAACGTAAAAAAGCGACGCGATATCTATAACATTTGCGTTGCAATCCGAGCTGCACGAATCAATGAGTCGAGCTCTTCCGATTTACGGAATCGATTAACGCGCGATTTACATCTCGTCCGGATCGAGCCTCCTGCCGATACACGGACGATTTCGACGGTGAACATTTCTTTTTTTTTAGTCATCCCAAATTAGAGAGATGCGCACGAAAGCACCAATTGATTGCGCATTTCGCGAGAATGTAATTAGAGGCCTAAGATTGGTTTCAGCGCGATTACAAGTAAAGATTCAACGCTCGATCGGTGAATGGCAGGATGGCACCGAGGACGCACCGTCGAAAGAGTCTCGACACTTATTGTCTCTTGTATGATTTTCGACGAAGCCAAATCACGTGATCACGGGCATCGACGATACCTTATTGACGTCGTTGACGGGATATACACGGTACAGATTTAATTCCCGCCACTTTTAAGGAGTACTACTAGGTAGAGAAATACTTAAGTCTCGTTGCTACATACCAGTATAAGCTCTATCGCTTATTTTATACTTAGAAGTATTGTAATGTTTCGATTAGAGGTAATATAATGGGAAAGTTGTATCTTAGCGTAAGATAGACTAATCTGTAAAGATAAGTAGTCAAATAAATGAAAAGTACATTTGATGTTGCAGACGATCCTTTTTCTTTATAATTTCCGACAGACAAACTCAATATTTTAATTATATTAGAACAACACAAGCTACCCGCGCAATTCCTCGATTTTATATTAAAAAGATTGATATTTAAAAAAAATATAATATAAACATTATTTAAACTCCATTAAGTTTTTATAATAGAGATCAGCTAATTAAAACATTTTTACAATAATATATTTAAAAAAAATTAAAATAATGATATTTAAGTTTGAATAATATTATTTGACAGAAATCAGCTGATAAACTGTCAAAAAAATGAATCGAGTTTAAGTAACTATAATATATTATTTAAAACATATTATTATTTTAAAATGTAATTAGGAAATTACTAATATCGAATGATTTCTGTAAAAAAATATTTTCATTAAAGATATAATATATTATAACATATTAACAACATATAAACAATCTTAATATTTTAATATATTATTATTTCAAACTTCAATTAGAAGACAAAAGGCAATATTGTAAAAATCGACGAGATCTACAAGTTCACTCTTTACATGTTTCGTAAGATTCACTGTTTCGGATATATCGTCGTTTCATTGGTTTTTCATGTTTATCTTGAAAAGGCTGCATCTTAGGCTTGGTCGGGCATTTCAGACTTACTGCAGTTATTCAACAATGCGGTAGTGTTTAAGACAACTCTGCTTTGTATAACGCGGAATAACGTCTAAATAATAAAAGATAATGTTTATCAAAAAATTTCACGATTATTTAACATGAGGAGAATTAATCAACATTGCGGAAAAAGATATATATATATATATATATATATATATATACATATATATATTTTTTTAATAATAAAATTATATATTATATTATATTATATTATAATATTAAACTATATCCACATTATTAAAAAGGACATGTACAGTCAGTTACACGATTCTATCAAAGTTCGTATTTTTGCTTTTCCGTGATGTTGATTACTCGATATATCGAGATATTGAAGAGGTAAGAATGAAACATTGCAATCTGCCTTGTTACGATTTATTTGTGTCATTCACGAACATAACAGGGAGCACTGTGTGCTCAAATATACAATGTAGATATGTACTCGTTAGAAAAGTATACACATCATCCATATCGGTATTATTGTTATTTGCCCATAAATTAACTACGTATAGGCGAACACGATCACTTTCATAATTAGAGTAGGTTTTAAACAAAGTAAGTATTTGTCAATTCAAACAATTATATATGTTGAGTGATTAACTTAATTATCAATGTGCATGCATTTCTTTGTAATATATAATACATAATGTATATAATTTAATTTATTCATAGTTCTAGATGCAGGAGAGATATGTATTTATTATTTTATAATCCAGCAGGAAGAGAGTTCGTGTACATTTCATTTTATAAATTATAAAACATTCGTGTTTAAGGTAAATAAAAAACACATTTTTCACTGAAGCATACGTAATGAAAACTGAACGAAAACTTACGATTTTAGCTCTCGTATTCAAGAGAGATTTACATAATTTATAACAGCATTAGCATTGAAAATTTACATTTTACATCGCGTTCTTGTATAATGTCTTGCATACAGATTTTTTTGGACTCGTTTAAATGCTACTCTTAATATGGAGCGACTGAATTCGCTTACTATATGAAGTTTATTTGAGAAAGCTCAGTCCTGTGGTATAGAGTGACCCACTTGTACGAAAAATACAGCGCATACTTTTTTTCTATTATTTTTTTTGTTGCATGGGCATTGCTGGAACAATGGAGTAGATGAAAATTTTTCGAGGATTTAGAAAGACGTTTCTTATGGCTTACAGGCAGACATACAGTCGAAGTATATTGACTTGAAATATAATTATAGTGGGATACTCTCTAGGATACTACTAGATATACTATAGCGAGCAGACTAAAGTTTCTATATTAAGCATGTGTAATTGGAGAATCTATTATCTTTAATCACATACTACTGCTGTTACATCATCATTTTTTGTTGGCACATTTTCCATGAAACAATATGTCACTCGAAATATATCACCAGTTTTAATATTATTTTTATTCTATAACAGTTTGTATAATATGTAATTCTATGTATGTAAATTACGTATATTTTTTCTGCGGTATAACTTTTACATCTTCCAATTAATTTTTTCGATTGACAAGAGCGTGATTAAATTTATAAATTCAGACATATGTATTTCAACATTTTAATTAATCAAACAAAATATATATAATATATATTAAAACACAGATCAAGAGTATTCCTTATTTTGTTTTTTGTTTTAATAAAAAAAATTAACTTTTTTCAATTTGTCTATACTCAGTCATTTTCCAGAAACGCCCATATTTCTTTGCAAATCAGATTCTTTACATACATTCTATGTAAAACGATGAATCAAATAAATGCACTTAAAAATATTAAAGTACAATCCTTTCACATATTTATTCCTGTTTTAAAGACATTTATATGTCTGGTCACAAACGCAATTTTCTCAAAGAAATTAATTAAATTTTTCGCTGGAATTTATTTACCTTAAATCTTTGTAGCATTGTTTTGATTATATTTTTAAACATACGCATACACACACATAAATGATTATAATTTATAATATATTAAATTATAAGAGGAAATTCTGTTTATTTTGTGCATCGCGCGCGTTACCGCTCTTTTTTCTTCTACAATATATATATAATTCCTTATATGATCTAAATATATATTATTATTTATTATCAAGTTCACAATCAAATAGTCGCATCAGTTATAAACATACATGCGTGTACGAAGCGACTATTGATATACATAATGCCAAAATCATGTTATATATGTTACTTGTGTATATGTATACGCCAGTGTTCAGATACATTATCACAAATAGTGCCCGTGGTCGGGCATTATATCTAAACATGTATCACGTTAATAGAACATTTGCGCAGAAATTGTAGCGAGAGCGTAAAATAATAAACGATGCAAGTAGAGATCCAACGCGCGCGTTCGATATCTGTGTACTATCTTAGAAATATACTATCGGTATTCAATTGTACTCTGCTGCTAATATGTTGATCTGTCATCTAAATCTTGCCCTTTACTTCTTCGGTCTCGCCTTTATCGAGGGTATAAGGCCTTATATTCCTCGTTTTTATATTTGTCTTCTATAAAAACTTATGTATATCTGATCTCTCGCGCATTAAATCTAAAAACATTTAAGCTATCGTCATGCTCAACATCACGTAATGTATGACAGGAAAATTCTACGGGGATATTGTGTGAATACAACAACCTGTGTTTGAAATGGTGCAGGACCAGCCTGCACTTTATCGCGAGCATATATTAACTCGATAGAAAGACAAAGCCATGCAAATTGATCTCGTTTCCGTCCCGATCGCCATCAGATCGTTGGAATTGAGCAACCTATGTTTCGCGAGTGATCGAGCTTTCTACTACATTGGATCGTTTATTATTTTATGCCTGCTGCACGAGGTAAGGTTGCAAAGCACAGAATTCGCCTTCCGGCCCTTTGAAACAGAGATTGTACTTAAGTCAGTCAAGCGATGTGCATTAAATGACGACAGAAGGAGACAATGTCCAAGCCGACGTCTGACAATATTTGCGAACTTCCGCAGTGTTTGCTTTCCGCCTCTTGTCTTCATCTACAATGCAAGCTTCACATTAGAATCGTTGAAAAACACAATAGGATTTTCATGTCTTATTGTGCTTTTCAATTATCATTGTCTTATTGTGTAAAAAGAATTGAGATTTCCATTTTTAGTAGGAAAGGAAATGTCTAAAATAATTTTGTTAACTACAAATAATGCGGATGAGATTTAATTAATTCGCCTACCTGTTTAAGCAACTCAAGCTTACTGGAAGTGAGTTCGAATCTACATTTGGGATATGACCAGACATGGTCTCCATCAGCGGGTACCATTGCGCTACCGGTTTTCTCGGATTATCCAACATCTCTAGCCAGTGATCTCGACCGATCCCAATGAAGCTCGATCCAATTGCCGTGCATCCCATCAATTCATTCGCACCAATCCTAATGTGTGTTTAAATTATTACACTTGCACAGAAAGGGAATTTACTCTTTTATTCAAAGTCTTGCACAATATGACAATTTTCTCTTACCTGTCGTAATCAATCACTTTTACTATAAGACTGACATCCTCAATGTTGTCCGCGGGAACATCGAAAACAAGTGCCTCATTGTAGATGGGATAAAGAGTGTTCTTCTTCACCGTTGTCTTCTTTTTCTTTATCCTTTTACCTTGGCATAGCAGATAGACTTTCACGTAAGGATCTAATAAAACAGAAATAAATTTTAATCAATGTATAAATTATATTTTCTTCAATTACAAAGAGAGATAACTGATTTAATAATAATATTAAATTTCTAATAAGAGATTATATTCTGTTTAATCAATATTGCAAAAGAATATCTGATCCGATTTAATTTTGTATACGCACCTGATTTGCCCGTTATATCCATCGCTTTAAGATTCCTGGCTTTGACTACAGTCAGTGTCAATCGACCAGCCGTTGGTAGATAGCACAATGACAGCATCAATTCTCCTAGATCTACTTTTTCCTGTGAACAATATTGAGAAGTTAAAGTTATGAGTTGCAACCAAAGTAGCTGCGTCTGAATAATTAAGCGTTTATCTCACGAAAGATAAGACTACCTGCAAGGCGCAGAGAATGTCCATCGTATATTCAATTTCTTGTTCAAGGTCGGTGCAGTCTAAGAGTCCTTTAAGGACTACTTGTCCAATGAGATCGTGACGTGAAAAGCGATCAAAGTCGTAGACCGAGAATTGTAGATAACGTTCCCGCAATTCTTCATATGACACGCTGACAAGATAAATTATACGTTAAATTTTCATCTCGGGTTTTATAATTTATTTTATGCGCAATTATATCAGTTAGCACAGATAAAAATGTTAACGATAAATCTTCTAAAAATTGCGTTGTAATTTGTCTTACCTAAAGATAAACGTTTCATTGAATATCGGATTTAAATTCTTTCGATGTACTTTCGTTTGGAATTTTTTCTTTCTATCTGGTAACAGATATACTTTGATGTACGGATCACTGCTGCCTGTTACATCTTTTATTGGCAATTCACGAGTTTCCAGAACCTGACATCAAAGAATCAAACAAAATTAAACTTGATTGATTCTACATTGAATAGAATAACATAATATATAATATTACGTTTTCAGAGAAAGAAATAAATAAAAATAAGATTAAATGCTATTTTTATTTTGTATATTTAAATTTACAACTAAATAAAAAGATTGATTAATGAAACTTGTTACGTCATTGTAAGTATTATCTAATTGAAATAAAAGTTCGCATTGTTATAAATAAATATACACGCGATATTGTAAAAACAATAATTTTCATTATTGAATATAATTGAAAATTATTGTTCTTACAATAACTTATGTAATGCAAAGAATGCACGGAAAATGTAACGAAGGCCAATAATAGCACCGTATATTTAAATTTATCTACTACGAAGAATAGCCTGTATATATATCATTAATCTTAACGCATTTGCCGCGTACAGGAATAGCTTAATGTAACTGACATTACCCAATTCGCGTTAATAGCAATAGAGCATGCTATGTGTCCATCACAAATGCAATATTCTGATACTTCATTATCGTTATCCAATATCTCTCATTTGTGCTGAATATAACCCAGATACATATTTTCAGTGCGCAAACCCAGTTTCAATGTAAACTGATTAATTTGTATGCGTAAAATTTCTAATTATTATTTTTTTATTAATTAATCAAAATTTAATTTTGTTAAAAATTAAATCTATTTTGTGTAATATTTGTATATACCTTTATCAAGTATATGTGTTCATTGTGATTTTTCTTATTACCGTATGCCAATTCGAGTAAAGATCAGTCGTATTATTTATAAAATACTATATAACATTTTAACTATATACGTGACAGCTTTTAAAGAGATATTAATTTGACTTACTTTAACAACAAGTCCTTCAATTTCCTTGTCATAGCGCAGAGCAAAATGTAGTTTTCCGGCATATTCCATTTCTGTTGTACTGGAACTTTCAGCGCTCTCTTGTCTCACGAGCTCTTTTTTATATAATTCCGGCTGCAATATTAATAATAAACATAAATATTAAATTTTGTAAGTAAAAAAATGTATAAATCAAATATTTACATATTATTGATTAACTGTCAACAGTGAACCAGGTGATAACAAAACGGAAGAAATTAAATAATAATGCGACTAATTTGCATTTCGATATCTATCATAACAAAAATGCGAAATATCTGCTAATTACCTTGATAAGACCAAGGCTAGAGTCGCTGCGATTTTCGAAGCTACAAATGCTGAATTTAATGTTAGGCAAATCAAGACGGTGCGATAGTTGACGTTGGAAGCTTTGATGTCTCATTGGTACGATGGGCAGAGTGGTTTGACGCAACACCTGAAGAATTATATTAATATTGAGACAGTTGCGTGATAATATTTTGAGACAAACTATGGAATATTAGAAACGCGATATATAATACTGATTCGACTTTGCCAACAATACCTTTTTATTTTCTTTCTGCTCTTGGACATATTCATGAGTGATTGGTTCCGATTGTAGATCCGGAAGAGAATGGCTGATTCGAATCGCATTCTGTTGGGTCTGATCGGTCTCGGTATCCTCGATATTTTCATGTCGAGTCATGTTTAACAACCATCGCCAAGTAGAAGAGCATTGAAAACTCACCGCCGCGAGGAGAACCAGAGCAATAAGAGCCACCCCAGCTGCTATCAGTAGCTGATAGGGAAAATTCTCGCTCAATTCCTCTGTAAAATGGAGCATTTTTTATTGATTTATTGCGGTAAAATTAGATAAAAATATTATAATAAAATCATAAAGAACAATATTTACACATAAACATACACATACAATTTTATTTCTTTTTGTATATCATAAATTTGTAAATACGTTACTTTGTATGTCATATAATATAATCAGTGATATAGTTACGCGATATAAAATCAATGTGTAATATATTTTTATCTAGCTGTGCTACTTGAAACGGAAAACCATTTAAGCGTTCTGCACAATGCTACATTTACGTAGGCAGACCGTAACGCAAGTGAAAGAGGTTAAATAAAATATTCACTCGTGCATATGTAACTCTCCATGAAATATTAAAAAGACATAACATGTGATTTCAACGCACGATAAAAAATTATAAATTATATTATGTAATTCTTATTAATCATATTTAATCATATTTACAATAGCTATTTGTTGATAAGTGAAGTATATCTATTATTGAAGAGAATATATAGAAATATTCTGTATAATTTTTATCATAGGCTTGAGCAATAAAAAAAAGAAAATGCAAATGCGAAAGTATGCTTTAAGTAAATTGCGCGTGTGTGTTTGATGGGAAATATACTATTGTGCGCATCCTATGACAAAGAGAAAGGTATTCTTGGTTTGGCTGGAGCAAATGAAGAGAGGCCCATCACACAACGCGTCGTGGTTGAACGAGCTTTCCGTTCTCGTTTATGTTGAGAACAATGAGTGTCCTGCTAATGACAAGAATATCTTTGCTTTTACTTTAATGTGAAACGAGTCACGAGTCATATGTAGACCATATATGATGATGCATTTCCTCTTTTGAAATATTTTACGCTTCGCTTTGAGATCATGTTAAGGTTACGCGCTAATGATTTTATTATAATATTTATTATTAATATTTTATCTTTTATTTTTTGCATATTGCTTCTCTCAAAAGCAGATATAATTTCGTGCGTTGCAAGCTTAAAGTTTTGTTTAAAAGAAGATGACTTTTTTCAAATATTTTATTCTGAAAATATTGAGCGTATATTCTATTGACGTATTTTTCATTTTCTACCATAGAAAGCTGTTTTGCAGAAGTGAGTCACCATGCGTCAAAGATTGTTGCAAATATTACTATATACATATGTCACATGGAAAGTGATAGGAAATCGATGCGCAATTGATCACACACAGTGTTTTTGATTGACTAAATTGCGCATGTAGGAAAGTTTCATTTTTCCCCTTTATCCTTTTTACGTATCGTGATTGTTTAAAAAAAAAGGAGGTGATATGCTATGTATGTCTTTTATCTTTGAAAACAGAATAAAACCAACAAACAAATCTATGTATATAGATTTTTCGCTTGTGCCACTTGCAACGCATACGCACGAAGCGAAATACGCGACGAATACGTATTCAAGGACGCGCGCGTACGTCGGTTTATTGTTACGTTGTAAAGTTTTCACTTGTTATTACGATAACAGATGTCTCGTATCGAGTTAACTTTTGCGTGCATTGCGTCGTGTCATTTTCAATTATACTCAGAGTAAAATAGTGCAATTCAATATAGTAATTTTTATTATAAAAACGTTTATTGGGAAAGAGAAAAAAATGAAATACACATGTGTATGTTCTCCCTTGTAACGATCCAATATCACAATTAATTACAGTATTACGAAAAAATTTACTTAAATTTTAGAATTTAATCTCAAATACTTTAATTCATGTATAATTTATTTTCCATTTTTTTATATTTTATTATATTTCAACAAACTATTCAAAAATATGTGATGCATCTTTCCCTCGATTTTTTTTGCTTTTTATTAAAAGCCTTGTTATTATATATAGCCAACAGAAAGATTAACGGCGGCTTTTAATGGCGTTGAAAACGAATGTCATCGTAAGTTACTACAATACGTTGTCCAGTGTTTTCACGCTGTGTGTATTTACGTTGTAATAGCCCATACTCGTGTGATGAACCCTAAGTTTGCAATACGTCATGCGATTTATGAGATACTTCTTTGTCTTCACTGTGCCGCGATGCAACGATGTATACCGTAAAGTGATTGATGAGCTTTAGTGAATTACGGGGTTACTGCCCGTCATATACGATACAACTTCTAATGCTTGTCCCTCGCGATGGTCAAGTAATAACTAAGTTATGTTACCTTGATGTCTCGAGGGATTTTTCTTGCCATAATACTTTTCCCGATAAACATATGATAAATAAATTACACTAATAAATACATTTTGATATTTTTTCTAATATATGTATAATCTTATTTTATAAAAAAAAACTTTTTTAAATCTTTTTTGAAATATATGTCATTCAATTTTTAAATACACATTGTTAAATTTTTTTTAAATCTATTTCAAATATAATCATTGGATTCATCGTATTCATACATTGTTATACAATAAAAAATAAAAAATTATTAAGATTTTATATTATTATCCTTTCATATAATCAATTTATGTTATCAATATAATCTCTGAAGTATATGAATTCTAAGGCATAGAAATTTGAATTAGCAATAACTAAAAACAGTTATAATTCTCTATCCCTTCCCAATAACTCCTCTTTTAATCAAATTTTTATAAAATAATACACACACATCACCTCGTCAAAATATGTCAATATTTTTTTTAATTTATCGTGTTTTTTCATCTTTTGTGTAAAACACTCGCTGCCCCTGACCTTTTTCCTACATTGCAAGAGTGATATAGAAAGCTCGAATAATGGTTTGCATGCTATGTTAGGATGCTCCTTACAAGGCTAACATGGAATTTACATCCTTTGTCTATGTGACTTCACTGTGATCCTGAGATAAAGTGAACGACGCTAGATGATTCTAAAGATTACTGTTTTTCACATGAAAATGAAGTGAATAAAGAATTATAAATTTGTTGGTGATAGCAATGTATTAAAGTTCCATCCAATACATATATATAGATAAGAATGCACGTATTTGCACAAACAAATTTATATAACCGTGGAAAACATTCCTTCAAAGATATTTTGACGAGCCTTGACCTTTTTCTTTGGCCTGCAACTTGTTCCAGGGTCTCTTTAGACTCTGTATATTTTTTTTATCGTGTTTCTTTATCAAAGACACACTGTGGAAATGTATTATTTCTAAAGTTTTGCACTGCCCAATATATTTATTTTTGTATTGCTGTTATTACTTTATGCCACATGCACAATGAGAATTTATTTAATCTATTTGTCAAAACTGTTCGTTCATTTATTATTTACGCAAACAATTAATTCATGACCATATATTTCAGACAGTACTTTAATTATATTTTCGCTGTACAATATAACAAATATTTAAAAAAAATATAAAGAATAAATATTAAGACATATACATATACTATATATGTGTATAATACATTAAAAATTAAATTCTGTGTATATAATAAAATTAATATTTAAATTAAATTCCCAAAATATCACGTAAATGATAGATAACAGTTTTATATATTAACTTAAATTTTTATTCGTAAATACAGTGGATGCTTTTCATGACTGTTGTTTGTAATTTCAGTTCCCGTCTCGTAAATAGCTTTTCTCAAGGGAAATTGTTTCAGAATTGAAAACGTACATTTGTCTCAGATTTGTATTAAGGGGATTGACAATCCTCATATTTCCTTTGTATGTAGTATATCTACACTAGCTGTGTTCGTTTTGGACGCTTTCAACGCTATAAGCATCTTCTGTTTTCGTACTCATCAATATCAAATAAAAACAGAAGATGCTTATAGCGCTGAAAGTGTCAAAGCGAACGCAGCCTATATATACCTGCAACGTAGTTGTCAACGTGCTATATTCATTAATCTTATTGCTAATATAATCGCATCTATAGTGTTTGAACTGATTTATGTGTATATCTTTAAATTACTAATTGAGTATTAGTATCAAAATTAAATCCGTCCTTATTATCGATATACATATATAAGATATCTTACATTTTCTCTAGCACTTTCTTAGTAATCATTAATAATTGCAAATTAAAATCCTCACATTATTTTGTAATGCGCAACTCATACAATAGAATTCTCTGTGAAATTCGGAACACTATATATCATATATGTATGCACGTGTGTATATACATATACATACACACACACATACACACACACACACACACACACACACACACACACACATATATATATATACATATATATATATATATATATATATATATATATATATATATAATATGCAATGTATTTTTTGTCGGATTGAAGTTGCAATCAACAGATATCGATTATAAAACATATCTCATATTTTATAAAACTTAATACATCAAATCATAAAATATTTATATGATCAGTGGGTCCAAGTAAGTCTAATACATCCTTGTATCTAACAAGCATGGATAACATAAAAAATATATCAATAACTCAACCAACTACCGCGGATACTTTCGACGACCTATTTGGTTTCAAAGCCGCTCAGAAACGACAAAAGGATCGTGATTTGACAACTGAAAATATGAAACCGTATTTTAAACCTTGGCGTGTTTTTATCAATCATATTGACAGTTATCATGGAAAGATATTAACTGACGTATGTACTGTTTTTAATAATAAAAATAATAAGAAATTATTAAAAAATATCAAGAAATCTGATATATTATTTTTTGTTTAAAATGATTTAAATTTGTATAGAATCTACAGAATAAGCGCTTTAAACAAATGTTACATATAAAAATAATATTTATTTTTCTCTTTGTGTCTGTTTACTGCCTTTTCATATTAATTTTATTTCAACACGCTAGATATGTAAATCCGCAATATGTCTTTAGTATTTTGATTACTATGTCAAAATTAATTATCTAATGTTTGCTTATTTAATAATCACTTTTTTATTTTCAAAGATTTCTAGATAAATATTTCATTACTTAATATCATTCAGAATATAATTCTTAAAAGAACTACGTATTTTCTATCTACTATAGAATATAGAATATTTTTATTATAACAATCAAAATATATTGTC